GCATCCCCTTGGCGAGAGGATGGGCGCTGCTCTTGTCAAAGAGTCTAGGGCATGGCCTTCTGGCTGTGCTGTTCAGGGCCTCCACCCCATAAGCGCCAACTCCGTGAGTGCTGCAAGGCTGGAGCACCCACAGCAAAAAATTAGCGGGGGCTTAGCACCCACTGGCAATCAGCTGACCCCCAGCCCCCAGCACCTCCTGCTCACCAGCGGCCCCGCTGATCAGTTCCTCCCGCCTGCTGCCATCAGCTGTTCCGCAGCATGCAGGAGGTGCTGGGAGGGAGGGGGAAGAGTAGGGACGGGGTGCACTCGGGGGAGGGAAGAGGCAGGGTAAGGGTGGAGCAGGGGCAGGAAGGGGTAGGGGTGGAGTGAGGGCAGGACCTGGGGCTGAGCACCCCCTGGCAAACAAAAAAGCCGGCACCTATGCTCTGCCCTATTACAGGAGGGTTAAAGTAGTCCAAACAAAAAGTCAATATTCTTTCATAGCCTACAAAAATCAAGAGTTCTAGGTTTTTGGGAAGCCAGAAAGAGAGAGAGAGAGAAAGTACCATCCTGTTTCCAAGGCTCTCAAGCCATTTCCCCGGTCAGCAGCCCATACTTCCAGGGGCAGGGGAGCTCTGAATTGCAGTCGCTGCAGAGCAGGGATCCTCGCTTTTAAGGACATGCCTGACCAGCCTTAGTGCAAACTAGCAGATCCCTAGCAGTAGATACCAAGTTTAGGGAAGAAGGGGTGTGGTCTGTTTCCAGACCATCTCTACTGAAAACTGAGGAGGATAGAGAACTACCTCAAGGTGCTCAATAGATTTGGTAGTTATGGAATACTTGCCACACTGAATGCGGATTCCTAAATGAAAAGCTGTATGTTCCATGGAGAGAATGAGCTCCAGGTAACATGTGCTTTGGGGTCCATCTGGTGGCTGAATAAGGCAGAAAAATATTGTGTCAAAAAACTTCTGAAAGGTGACACCTTCTCTGTTTCTCCCCCGCCCCCAGACATCCCATGGAAGGATCCTCCTCATTTGTGTAATCCTCTGACCTCTTAGTTTTGCTCCCCCTGACCTTTTTTGCTAATCTCTGTGGATTTTATAAAGTCTGCATGGACCTGTGCAGCTGGGGCAACTTCCTCTGAAAGTTGTAACTGTCTGGAAAATAAAAATAATGAGGAGTCCTTGTGGCACCTTAGAGACTAACAAATTAATTGGGTCATAAGCTTTCCTGGGCTAGAACCACTTCATCAGATGCATGGAGTGGAAAATACAGGAGCATGTATAAATACACATCACATGAAAAATGGGAGTTGCCTTACCAAGTGGGTGGGTGGGTGGGTGGGAGGGAAATCAGTGCCTATGAGGTCAATTCAATCAGGGTCAATGTGGCCTATTCCCAATGTTTCAGAACAATCCTTTGAAAATATGTAAAAGAAACACCCCACCAAAACAAGAGAAAAAAATACTGCAGGACGATCTGCCCTGAGTGAGACAAATAGAACACGCACACCAAGGATATATAAATGGGGTGTGATGACCATCTAGAGAGTAAACTCTTCAGGGAAAAAATGCTGGATAAAATGTTCAAAAGCAGCTGAGTGACTAGGAGCCTAAGTTTAAATCCCACTGACTTTCAATGAGATTTTGGCTCCTGAGTCACTTCTGAAAATAGTACTGATCTGGAAAGCACCTAACACTCTTTTGGCTCTACATAAATAAAAGCATAGTAAATTACCCTTGAATATAGATTTAGATTACTCCACTGTTGCATTTGGTTCCTTGAAGATTTTTTATCTTGCTACTATATTACGATTTAAATTTTTTCACAGGACTGGCATTACTATGAGTTCAGAGCTCTGAAGGCTTATGTGCCAAAACCTTACCAAAAAACCTGCTTCCAGTTTCTACACTCCCCACTGAGGATGTGCAGCAGGCTAGGTGGCGCAAGGAAACTTGTCTTTCCACTTGCATTGCCCATGCAAAGGACAGCCACAAATTGCAGGGTCTGCTCCCAAATATGCATATTGGATAGAATGTTCCTCTGCTCACATTTGACATACTATTGCAATAATCTTTGTACAAAGTATGCCTCGTGAGGTATCATTTGAAAACTCAGTTTATTGGTCACTATTGTCCTGGTAAATTATATGTGGCAACACTGTATCTGAATTTATAATATTTCCCTGTATGATGATATTAACACATGTTCACCCACAACTCTACCCAAGCAGAAGTTGGCAAACAGGTCTATCCTAAACAAAGGAATGTGTGCTCTGCTTCATGTGCATTTAAGCAGTAAACAGAGTCATCATGGAGGAAGGGGAGAGAAAGGAAGCTCAGACAGGTGAGAAGCAGCAGCAGGGAACATACTTCCACATACTTTTTGTTTCCTGGTACACAGCTGGAAATGTTTCAGTGGAACTGAAACTATAAAAAGAAGGGACAAATACCCTAAGACACCCCCTGTCACCCTGTCTAAATGGAGCACCATTTGGGGTGGCAAGTTATATGCATATTATTTCTATTAAAGAAATAACAGACTTTATAATAACTTGTATTGTCCAAGAAAAGGCTGGACAGCATACTACAAACATTTCTGGGAGAAAATCTAAGACTGGGAGTGCGTTGGGGTCACCCTGCAGTATAACCCAGGCTGGTAAGAGCAAAAGTGTGGCTGACTGCAGCACACACATGCAGACACAGCTTGGAGTAACTTGCATGCTGGATGCTATTTGTGAGCAGTCCAAGCTAGAGGATACAGCAGCAGAGCACTGTAAAGAGCACCCTGAGATAAAGGGCAGGGGTGACACAGTTAGGCTGAATTGAACCCTGGTATCTCATAGCATATCATCCCAAACAGGGTAGGAAGGGGGGGTACACCTCCTTCCTTTACTGACAGGATGTGCAGCCTGAACACCTGCCATGCACACAGGTGCATTAGAAACCTGTGAAGACACAATTCCTCCTTTAACACCCTGGGGATCTCCTTATGGTTCTTGTGCCACGCCTGAGATCCCTATTCCAATTCCTTTGTGACATGCCTCTAATTCCAACTTCAATTTATGGGCTCCACATGTGGCCATGAAACAAACAAACAAACCCAACACACCCAATTGCAGAAACAGAACCAAACCCACAAACAAGCATTTTATGACAGATGCAGTAGAAAGGGAACACGTGCATTGACACCGATCTGGCCTGGCCTTCAGGATAAATGCTGCAGGGAACTTCAGACTGACCTGCGAGGGAAAAGCTATGCTGGCCTCCTACCCCACACAGGAACAACCAGAGCTACATGATGCTCTGTTCCCCCTCCTCCTCCCCAGCTCTGTTACAGGGAAGCAAGAACTGGGACCCTCTCCCAGGGTTGCCCGGTGTCCGGTTTTTGACCGGAACACCTGGTTAAAAAGAGACCCTGGTGCCTCCAGTTAGTACTGCTGACAGGGCCATTAAAAGTCTGGTTGCGGCGCAGACAGGCTATCTGATGCCGCATGGCTCCCAGAAGTTCCAAGGCACAGGGGCGGCCCCCCCCAACCCTGAGTGCTGGCAACCCTAGACCTCCCCCTTTAAACTAACCAGAACCTGGGGGGCAGGCTCCGCCACATTCATGTGCTCTGTGCTGCCTCTAGCCCCACCCACAAGCCAGGGCTAGCCATTAACGAGGCGTTGGCAGGATCGCGCTGCGAGGATCCCCATGTGAGCCCAGGAGGGGCAGGGAGCTCTCTCCGGACACAGCACTTTAATACTCCCAAAAAGAACAGGAGTACTTGTGGCACCTTAGAGGCTAACAAATTTATTAGAGCATAAGCTTTCGTGGGCTACAGCCCACTTCATCAGATGCATAGAATGGAACATATAATAAGAAGATATATATACACTCACACACACACACATACAGACAGAGAAGGTGGAAGTTGCCATACCAACTGTATGAGCTATTATCAGCAGGAGAAAAAAAAACTTTTGTAGTGATAATCAAGATGGCTCATGTAGACAGTAGGCAAGAAGGTGTGAGGATACTTAACATGGGGAAATAGATTCAATAGGTGTAATGACCCAGCCAGTGTATCAGTATCCCCGATAATGTCATGGCAAACCTGATGGCTGACCTTTGTAACTTTGTCCTCATCCACAACTATTTCACATCTAGGGACAATATATACCTTCAAGTCCGCAGCACTGCTATGGGTACCCGCATGGCCCCTCAGTATGCTAACATTTTTATGGATGACTTAGAACAACGCTTCCTTAGCTCTCATTCCCTAATGCCCCATCTCTACTAGCGCTACATTGATGACATCTTCATCATCTGGACCCATAGAAAAGAAGCCCTTGAGGAATTCCACCATGATTTCAACAATTTCCATCCCACCATCAACCTCAGCCTAGACCAATCCACACAAGTGGTCCATTTCCTGGACACTACTGTGCTAATAACCGATGGTCACATAAACACCACCCTATACCGGAAACCTACTGACCGCTATACTTACTTACATGCCTCCAGCTTCCATCCAGGAGGCACCACACGATCTATAGTCAAGCTCTAAGATACAACCACATTTGCTCCAATCCCTCAAACAGAGACAAACACCTATAAGATCTCTATCAAGCATTCTTAAAACCACAATACCCACCTGCTGAAGTGAAGAAACAGACTGACAGAGCCAGAAGAGTACCCAGAAGTCACCTACTTCAAGACAGGCCCAACAAAGAAAGTAACAGAGCGCCACTAGCAGTCACCTTCAGCCCCCAACTAAACCCTCTCCAGCGCATCATCAAGCATCTACAATCTATCCTGAAGGATGATCCCTCACTCTAACAGATCTCGGGAGACAGACCAATCCTCGCTTACAGACAGCCCCACAACCTGAAGCAAATACTCTCCAGCAACCACACACCACACAACAAAAACACTAACCCAGGAACCTATCCTTGCAGCTAAACCCAATGCCAACTCTGTCCACATATTTATTCAAGTAACACCATCAGAGGACCTCACCACATTAGGCATACCATCAGGGGCTCGTTCACCTGCACATCTACCAATGTGATATATGCCATCATGTGCCAGCAATGCTCCTCTGCCATGTACATTGGCCAAACGGGACAGTCTCTAAAGAATAAACAGACATAAATCTGACATCAGGAAACATAACATTCAAAAACCACTAGGAGAACACTTCAACCTCTCTGGCCACTCCGTAAAAGGTTTAAGGGTGGCAATTTTGCAACAGAAAAGCTTCAAAAACAGACTCCAACGAGAAACTGCTGAACTTGAATTAATATGCAAACTAGATACCATTAACTTGGGTTTGAATAGAGACTGGTAGTGGCTGGGCCATTACACATACTGAATATTTCCCCATGTTAAGTATCCTCACACCTTCTTATCAAGTGTCTAAATGGGCCATCTTGATTATCACTACAAAAAAGTTTTTTTCTCCTGCTGATAATAGCTCACCTTAATTAATTAGCCTCTTTCAGTTGGTATGGCAACTTCCACCTTCTCTGTCTGTATATATCTATATCCTCTTACTATATGTTCCATTCTATGCATCTGATGAAGTGAGCTGTAGCCCAGGAAAGCTTATGCTGCAATAAATTTGTTAGTTTCTAAGATGGGGCAAGGACGCCTGTTCCTTTTGCGGATACAGACGAACCCAGCTGCTTCTCTGAAACCTTTAATTCGCCAACCTGTCTCTCACTTTAGCCTGGGTGGGATCTTCCTCGCCAGCTGATTGGTCCAGCTAGAAGTGAGCGACATGTCAGAGAACCAATGGGAAGAGAAACACCGTCTCCAGACGGCTGTTGGAAGCGTCCAACGCACGAGCGGGGAGATAGGCTTAATTTGTCAGCCCGAGCCCTGAAAGGAGGGGGCGGGGAGAAGCCGCGCTAATTCCCGCAGGGAGCCTGACACTCCGCTCTATCCTGCTCCCTTTTTTCGCCGCTGGCTGGAGTCCGCGCTTTTCCCCTTTGCCGAATCACTGCGGTTTGCCGGTCCCTACGCCACAGGCGTCTTTTCTGCCAATCAGAGGCGAGCTGGCCTGGCTGGGGCTACGATTGGGTCGTCCTGGCCATGTGATCTTGAAGTCGGGTGCTGATTGGCTGGAAGGGGAGGCCTACGTGAGAATCGCTTTTGCTGCCGCGGCCGCTCGTGGTGGGAGTGAGGCTGTGGGCCCGGGAGGGGGCGGAGCTCGGGGCGCGGCCCGGCGCGCGGGGGGGACTGGACCGGTGGGTGTGGAGGGCCCTAGGCGCCCTAGCGCGGGGGAGGCCGGGAACGAGAGTTGGTGCGGACCAGGCCTTCCGAGGCGCCGGCCACAGCTGGCCCCTGCGAGCCGCCCCGAAGCCGCCGCCTCCCCCTCCCCCTCCCCGCAGCCAGCAGCTTCGGAGCTCCCGCACCATGCCCGGCAGGAACAAGGCCTCATGCAGTTGCCCGGACCTGCCTTCGGGGCAGCAGGTCGGGGAGGGCGGCCGGGACGCCAAGGGCCGCCCGTTCCAGGAGGAGTCTGAGGAGGAAGGAGGGGACCGCAGGGCAAAGCCCAACGTGGGGGACCCCGACGTTGTCAAGTCCCCCAGTGACCCTAAGCAGTACAGGTGAGGGGGACGGGAGCCTCCCTCCCCCACCGGCTGGAGGCAGCGCGGGGCGAGGGCGCCTGCATTGCGGGACCCGGGGCGGGCTCCGTGTCGTGCGAGGGGGTGCCGGGGCATGGGGGAGCTGGGGATTTTGTGTACGCCTTTCAGGGCACTTAAGGCTGATGTTTTAACCCATAATTATCACGCATGTTGCGGGTGGTTAGCGGGAGTTCAGAAGCTGGCCCATAAGTCAGAGTCTGTGATCGTGGCCTGTGGGATTCTGACTTTGACTTGTGAATTACTGGGGTTAGAAATACTGCTCCAGGGGGGAAACGGGAATCCGGGAGGGAAGGGGGCCCTCATTCTTTGCTTTTAGCAAAGTTGTGTTTCACCTGCTCCCCTTCCGCTTTTTCTCCTGGTGAGATGGATATTTGAGGGAAAACAAGAGAGGAAAAAGTGCCCTGGGGAAAGGGTATAAGATTGGCAGGATGCCTGTAAGGGAATGCTTGTGGCACCTTAGAGACTAACCAATTTATTTGAGCATGAGCTTTCGTGAGCTACAGCTCACTTCATCGGACGCATGTAGCTGTAGCTCACGAAAGCTCATGCTCAAATAAATTGGTTAGTCTCTAAGGTGCCACAAGTACTCCTTTTCTTTTTGCGAATACAGACTAACACGGCTGTTGCTCTGAAACCTGTAAGGGAATGGAGACCTCGTTAGGGGGAAGGTGAAGAGAAGTGCCTTTGAGCAGGGAATCTGAGTCTGGAGGAGTGAGCAATAAACAGTACTGGAGTGCATGTGGGGAAGGTACTGGGGCTGGGTCTCTGAACAGTGCAGGGGTGGCGTTAGGGCTTTTAATATTAGAGGTTTGGTGTCCGGGGAGGAAAAGAGGCTTTTCGACGAAGTGAGTATTCAACCCACGGAAGCTTATGCTCCAATACATCTGTTAGTCTGTAAGGTGCCACAGGACTCTTTTCCGCTTTAAATTATACCAGTTTTCTATGTGAAAGAGGATATATGGGCAAAAGCAGTTTTATGCAGTTGTAAGTGCTTCTCCAGTAGGGTTTTTGCAGGTATAAAAGTGTTGCCCGAAAAATCACTCCACTGACCAACATTGCTGAGCTGGCAAAAGTTTCTAATAAAGATCTGGCTTTAGTTTTCCAGCTTGCCAATGACACACTGAAAACTAGTTCTGTCAAGCAAGAGGGAAACCAGTCTGGGGAGTATGTGACCTAGCACCCGTGTGCTTTAGGCCCTAAGTGAGCAAGGCGCTTACCTAATTTTAAGCAAGGGGGATGGGGTGGCTCCTTTTTTGTTTAAATATGCTGTGAATTCAACATGGCATTTGCTTCAAGAAGGAGGTGGAGGCAGATGCAGAATAATTCAGTGGGAGTGGATAAATAAGACGGAAATAAGTGACCCATCTAATGGTGGGACATGACATCTATTTGCTGTGATGAGTAGCTTCTCTGTTTATACATTTTTTTTTTAAATATACATGCACCTAATCCTTTGAAGCACAGTTTACCATCTAGTGTAGATACAGTTTAACATCTTTAAAATCAAGTTAGCTAGTGAAAGGGGTGTCAGCCAGCTAACAATTTTAAAATTGTTAATCTGCATTTTACACAAGGGAGTCAGTGATGTTTCAAAGGGTGCTAGGTCCCGCACTTTTTAAAAAGTCCATCTCTCTTCCTAGTTTAGATAACACCTTGGGTACTTACAAAGTTAATTTTGGCAAAGAGTCCTGTGGCACTTTATAGATGAACAGATGTATTGGAGCATAAGCTTTCGTGGGTGAATACCTTCCTCGTCAGATGCATGCCACGAAAAGCTTGTTCGTCTATAAGGTGCCACAGGACTCTTAGTCTGGATCTGTAAAAGCGGCAAACACGGCTACCCCTCTGAAAGTTAATTTTGTGGGTTGAGAGAAAAATGAAAGTGAGAGCCTCGCTAATGGAGTCCTTAGCAAAAGTGATATGACCACATGATAGAGTGGTCTCTGCACATACATATTCCTTGAATACAGCTTAATTTTACATGCCACTGGGAGCAGTTAGCCATTTTTGCCATTGAGTGCATGTAGGCTCTGTCCCAATGAACAATATATGGTAGCCATTTTTAAAGAGGCCAGTTAACTGGATTTCTCTTAGGAGATTTTTGTGTGCCAGCCTCTGTTTAGTGCTAAACTTTCAGTCTTGAAGAATAAAGGCCAAAAAAATGCCACTGGTGGTGAGGGCGGTACTCCTTCAAGTAAGGAGGCTTACTTCTGTCTGTCCATTTCAAATTCAAAATTTAATCTTAAATTTATTACACAGATTAACAAAAGTGCTTTTACCTGCTGGTTAATGGAGAGGACTCTATACCCTGGAGTAGGAAGACTGCCATTCTATCACACTTTCCTATCTTTCTTACCTCTGTCCTGATACTCCTTGGCCCACTCACATTTTTCTTCATGCTTCTCCGTGAGCATTACATCTGTGCATAGAGTTTTGTTAGCAAGAGTGCCTGTGGGTATGCCAGACTTCCCCTATGATGATGTCATGGGGAGATTGGGAAGTTAATTGTACATAGACTACAATGGGCTGCTATTCTGAGGCAGGAGGATTCCAGAGATGAAGAGAACTGTGGACTCTGAATTTGCTGGTGAATGTGGCATGTAATAAGCATGGAGGGTGGAATTTTTCAAAATGTTTTGGAATTACCCTAAGTCTTCTCTGATGGAAGTAAATGGTTAAAAGTCACTGATTTCTGTGTGTGTGGGGGGGGGGGCGGGAGTTAGGCCGGCACTTGAATAGTTTTTGAAAATCTCACCCTTAGAACACAACTTTGGTGTTGCTATATGACATATCTGACTACTCATAAGCAAAATATTCAAAAAGCAGGCAGTCTAACTGTATATGCCATCTACTTCTCCTCTCACAGACACACTTAACCACTACTGTACACCACAGACCTTACACCATAGCCTTAATTCTGTGCCCTAGGGATGCCAGCGTTCCACCATTACCTCTTGCCAAACTATACCCTTCAAACATCAAAACAAAGTCGCTGTGCCCTATAGTGACACCATAATGGGGTGAAAAATTTTAAATTGGTTAACTGGGACAAAAATATCCATGTATTAGTCATAATAGCTGGGCCATAGGGTCATTCAGTTGCCTTAACTGTACATTTCCATACCATTAATGTGTGTGTTTGGAATTCTTTAAGTTTAACCTTATCCAAGTTTCCTGGGTTTATAATATTTGTACTTGGATAATTACAATACCCTATAATGTTCCTTAACCTAAATTCATATGCATCTGTTGTTATTAGTTATAAGAACAAATGTGTCAGAATATCATTTAAGTTACCTCCAAAATTGCTGTGTTTGGAGCATTCTCACTTTTATTACCCACAAATACTCTCTGGTATGTTCATCTGTATATCTGAAGCATCTTATATCAGCATTAGGATTTTAATTCAGTAAATGGAATTTCCTCTGCTGGATGGAGCAGAGGCTCTAGCCAGCTGTTTTTTTGACTAGTTGACATGTAAAGAAGTACCTTGTCACAAGAATAAGTCTTCTGTTAATGCTAGCCATGGAGTTTACATTTTATATCCCTTTTAAAAAACAAAATCCTGGCCATTCTGTGGCCAATGTCTAGTCTGAACAAACACTAATGAAGGTTTTCTAAAAAGCAACCAAAATATACACCACCCTTGTTTGTCTTCGTGTTTTAGGTTCATTGATAGGAGTCCTTCATCACTCCTACCTGCTGCTCAGACACTAGCAGTAACTAGTGTTCAGTTATAGTTTGATTATACTTCTCTCTTTTTCCAGCTGTGACTAAAACATGGAAAAAGTGAACAACAACTAGCTCAACTAGCATCTCCGCTTAACATTACCTAACTCTGTTTTAGATTCTTGCTAGCTGAAACCAAAACGCCTTCAGCAGTTTCCTAGTTCATCCACAGCCTTGTTCAGGGAATCTGTTTCCCTGCCTTGCTACTTAACATCTTCAGTAATAATCTGGAGGTTGGGAGTAAATACACAGAAGTATTATCTGCTCACTTATTTATAGGGCGAAGTGTGGTGAGGACAGAAAAAATAATGAAGACTTTAAAAGATAAAACTTGCCAAACCAGCATACGGCATCTGTCAAATCTTTCTTCCAAAACAATAGGGAAGCTGTGTTGCTTCACCTTCACCTTCATATTGATCACTAGCAAATGAGTACCCATTGTGTGGCCATGAAAAGCTGAAGAAGCTAACTATCTCCATCAGTGAAGAGGACAACTGATGCCGTTCAGTTGCAGACATCCTGAAGCTATTCTGAAATTACATAAGATGAGGATTGTGCTTTGAGTTCTGCGGGATTCGAGTAAATGTTATAGGCAGTATTTGGAATTGTGTATGTATAATATTTATGCAGTTACCATTGTAAATAATTTTCCAAATTTGTATGTATGGTATAATTAAGATTCAGTGTTGGTGGAAGAGGTGTAGCTTTATGGGCATGGAGTGGGATTGTCTCAAAAGTTAGTTAGTTCTGCATAACAGAGAACTATTTAAAAACTATTGTCATGATACCTCCAACTAATAATAGTTTGGCTTTTCCCTCCAGATCAAGTGAAGGGTGGACTTCTCCCCTATTGAGTAAATGTGATCCTCTTCCTTTGCTGGGCTAAGGATGATAAATCGCAAAGAGAGCCAGTAACTGGAGGTGGTGACTTGGACCTCTTGGCCTTTTAGATTGGTTTTGGCCCTGTAGAATGTTAAATCGTAACTTCTTAACTTTATAACACTCAGTAGAACACAAATGAGAATCAGCTGGGGAAGAATACACAGCTAACTTTTTTGTGGAAGTAGCTTCACCCTCCAGTCATGTATGCACACTGGATAAAGCTGTAGTACTGAGAAGAGTTGTAGGATGACACTGGGCAGCGAGTTACATTTTTGTGCTGCATTATAACAGCAAAGAAAGCCAGTTATTTTCTTTAGGCTGTAGCAGTTTAAAGTCATGGAGCTGAGAAGTTATATCTTCTCTCTGTTGTGAAGAAGAGGCGCATCTGGGAAGAAATTCAGAGCAACAATGATTAGGGGTCTTGAGAAATTGACTTAAGGAAAGATTAAGACCCACTCTTACAAACTGCTCTGAACAGGCAGTGTAAAGACCCATATTCACATCAGTGAGCTTTCTGGGTGCAAAGGTCTGTCTGCATAAAACTAGTTGCACTTACAGGTGTATTTGCTTCAGTAAACTAATCTAACATACTGTTTATGAAGTTCTTTCCCTAACTGCAGCATTTGATTTGTTTTTTTTTTTTTAAAGTTACATAAGGTAATAAAAGCTCACATACTTTCCACTGACCTTATCTCACTAAACTTTTCATACGGCTTCTGCTAGTGCTTTGAGCTACTTCCATTTCTCTCCATTAAATCTTAAAATGCTCCTCACATATAGTCTGCAACCAACAGGTGTACAATAACACTGGATACCTCACATTCCTGTCATACTTTGATACCTGTAGAGCTTTTCATATAATGTACGCTACCATGTCAGCCTGAGCACTTGACAAGCAAATATTTTGCATCTGTGTGGGGGAAAAAAAAAAGTTGGACCAATAATTCACTCATATAACGATTAATTGTCAAGTAAAACACAATGTATCTTAATCATATTACACCTTCCTTTCATACTTTGTAAACCTAGATCTGGAAAATCTGAATTGGGGATTGGGCCTTGTTATCCTTAACTGTATGTGACTTTAATAATGTAGGAATTAATGTATGTGCAGACTGTTTTATAAAAGTTAAGCCCATGTCAGCTTATAAGGCATATTTAATTAAACAGTAAAAAAATGTACTGGTAGATTAAGTTCTGGTTTTACTTTTGCATGGTGAAATTATTCATCTTGCTTTAGATCTTCAGTTGTTTTGATTTAGAGGGTTTGACTAAGGAACTTCAGTTGAAGAGCCCAGAACAATTGTGGCAAATCCAGAAACACTCAAACTCTCTGTGAGGTTCAGAGGTTTTAGGAAACAAGTGAAAAGTCTAAATAGTCGTATAATTATTCTTATAGGTACATCAAATTACAAAATGGCTTGTGTGTGCTGTTGATTTCGGATTTAAATAACATGGACACTGCCCCTTCTGTGGTGTCTTCGGAGGGGGAGGACAGTGATGAATCTGAGGATGCAAGTGATGAGGATGACGACTCTGGAGCAGAGATTGAAGATGACAAAGAAGCTGACGACGACGACGACTATGACGAAGATGATGATGGTGGAGATGATGAGGATCTCCATGACCCTGATGACAGCGAATTGGAAGAACTAGCAGAAAAGGAAGAGACAAGAAAGAGGGGTTGTACAGAAAAGCAGGTATGTACTAATTCTATAAAATGAAAAATTGTTAAACGGAGGACTCCTGCCTAGGCCCAAACTCTGAAGTGCTGTGATCAGACAAGCGGGCTAGTTTTCTATGCCTGTGTCCCCCCCTATCTAATTTATCTTTGTATTTATATTGCCTTCATCACATTTATGTGAGACCCCATATTTTGCCCAGGTTTGAGCTTGTACTGTTACTCATGGACACAGTGCTTACCCCGTGATTGCAGCAGGAATAGCAGCAGAATGAAACATAGTATAGTCCTGGTCCATTTTCCTCTTTTATTCCTGGTAGGAGTAGGGTAACTGCTTGGTTGGTGTGGGATTCATTGCTACCAGATAAAATTTTGAAAAATGACACTGTGGTTCATTTTCTAGTCTGCAGCTGCCCTTTGTGTTGCTGTTGGCAGCTTCTCTGACCCTGAAGACCTACCTGGATTAGCACACTTTCTGGAACACAGTATGTATCTGTTTATATTTCACATTTTCCTACTTCAGTGAAAAATGTGTTGCCAAGTGGTTTGAGTTTATATAAGACACTAAAAAAGCAGCGTTCTAGACTGCAGAATTAATCTTTTCCCATTTCAAATCTCGTGTGCCTGAGATTTTTCCCCACTGAACTCCAACTAAATGTAGAATACTTGATTAATGACTGTTTGCATACAAAATAACTCTTCCTATCTAAAATGTTGTGATAGGTTGTAAGTGGTATAAAATGTAGTTGAAGTTCAGTTTGCTTCAATTTTAAAGTATGGAGGCGACTGTTTTGGAATAATACAGTTTAATAAGGGAGAATGCAAAACATATAATAAAAAGATGTATACATGAGTCATGAGAATTAACTCCTTAACTTTGTATTTTGTAGATTTTTATGGCCTTAAGTATTGGACAGTATAAGTAACCTAACTAAGTCTAAATGTAGCTTTTTGTATCTGTGTGACCATAGTGCTGTGTGTGTATATATCGCCCCCCCAAACTCTGCTTTCTAACACTTAATCTGTTGTTAAATGTGGACCAGGCCTTTCTCAGAGAACTAAAAGCATGCTTGATTGATTCTGATTTCTCTGGTTAGATGTGCAGGTCTCTAGCAAAATTTTGAATTCAGCTGTTCTGTTTTCCCTGATCCTATTTTCATTTGATTCAATGAATTGCTCCTTTGCAAACATTGTCCAATAGCAATTCTAAAATTTTCTTTTGAGAGCCTTAGTTGAGTGGTGGATTTTTCTTTCTTGTTGTTGGTTTTGAGTGGTTATTTTTTTTTCTGTGCTCTTGTAAATTTGAGGGAGTGTCTCCCAAAACAAAGCAAGATGGGTTTTTATTAAAGTGTATATTAAAGGTTATCTTGTAAGCTTTTCAATATTCATGGGTAGTCCTAGGAAACACACATGAGAAAGAAGGCACTTTAAAAAACAACAGCAACAAAAAAACCCTAAAACCGTTGGTCTTGATTTGCACACTCTTCCACTGCTTTTGCACCCATGTAACTCCATTGACTTCAGTGGAATTGTTCCTGATTTACATCAGTGTATGTGAGAGCACAACCAGAACTTTTGTTTTTATTGTTGTGCCTCATGTTTCCCTCAGGATAGGCTTCTTGCTTGTTCTTTAAATCTTGACTTTCCTGTCAAACAGGCTTGACTAGGAGGAAATTTAGAGGCTTTGTCCCATCAATCCTGAATTTTTTCCCTTTTAGTTCACCTCTCTCTCCTTTTCTGTATGCAGTGTAGTTGTAGCCTTATTGGTCCCAGGATGTTAGGGACACAAGGTGGATGAGGATCTTTTATTGGATCAGCTTCTGTTGGGTGATGCTGGGCGTACCTTTCCCAGACCCAAAGAAGAGCTGTGTGGGGCTTGAAAGCTTGTCTTTCTCACCAACAGAAGTTGGTCCAATAAAAGATATCACCTTTCCTTAATGAATACACCTGCAGATGAGCCCGCAAATGGCTCATGGGAGGTGGTGATCGATAGCTTGCATGTTTGGCCTTTGTATAGTGACCACTAGGGCCGAATTCAGATCAGGGTACTCAGTCAAGTTGTGGCTTAAGACATACTTGAGAACAAGCGTTTCATATTCCTGAATTATTGAATGATGTTAGGCCCACAGTAACTGACCAGCCTGCTTTTCAGCTACCTTATCCATGGTACAGTTGTTTGTCTGTGGCAAGTTGGTGTAAAATGCTACTATTCTTATTTGGTAGCATCTTACACCCACTTGCTACAGGTGTAAATGACTACATGAAATGCAAGGCAGTGGAAAATCAGGCCATCAGTATGTAATTACTTCGTGTTCTAGGTGATGCCTCTGTCTTTCTGCAATCAAATGTTTATAAAATCTCCCTAATTTTGATGGATTGTGTTTCAGTGGTGTTTATGGGCAGTTTGAAGTATCCAGATGAGAATGGGTTTGATGCGTTCCTGAAGAAACATGGGGGCAGTGACAATGCCTCAACTGACTGTGAGCGGACAGTCTTCCAGTTTGATGTACAGAGGAAATACTTTAAAGAAGCACTTGACAGGTAACTCGATCATACCAAAAAAAGGATAGGTTAAAATAGACTAACATGATCTCTATCTGCCTGAGGAGACTGTGTGTAACTTTGCATTGCTTTTATCTTGGCCTGATTGAAGGGAACCTGCGGTGGCTTAATTTTTAGCGGTCTCCTTATTGCAACAGATGACATAGATGGAGGGACTATCTTTTGGATCTCTTGCTATCTTTTGAGATTGCAGCTGTACCTCACAGTTGTGTTAATTCTCTTGCGATTAAGGTGATTTGTGCACCTGCTACAAGAGGAGGCAAGACTTCAATGGCTATGTCTACACAGCCTGTGGCAGTGAGCTTTCCAGTCTGAGTGGACGGACTCAGGCTAGTGCTCTAAAATAGCATGTAGACAGTGTGATGGGTTCGGTTACAGAGACCCCCTTGGGACTGTCACCTGATGTGCTGAAATTACCTCTGAGCCCGTTTTCCCTGATGGCTTGGGACTCCAGAACCCTGCCTTGTTGAGCCAGACACGCTAGTGTGCTGCAACACAGACCCAGGTCAGAACCACACCCCGAAAGCTGCTAACTTTAACCAAAAACTGCTCAGCAAATCACCTATCTCCAGCACCCAGACACCCAGTTCCCAATGGGATCCAAACCCCAAATCTGTTTTACGCTGTATAAAGCTTATACAGGGTAAACTCATAAATTGTCTATCCTCTGTAACACAGAGAGAGATGCACAGCTGTTCGCTCCCCCAGATATTAATCACTTACTCTGGGTTAATTAATAAACGAAAGTGATTTTATTAAGTATAAAAAGTAGGATTTAAGTGGTTTCAAGAAATAACAGACAGAACAAAGTAAGTCACCAAGCAAAATAAAACAAAATACGCAAGTCTAAGCCTAATACATTAAGAAACTGAATACAGGTAAATCTCACCCTCAGAGATGTTCCAGTTTCACAGACTAGACTCCTTTCTAGTCTGGGCCCAATCATTTCCCCGGTACAGTTCTTGTTAGTTCCAGCTCAGGTGGTAACTAGGGGATTTCTCATGACTGGCAGCCCCCTTTGTTCTGTTCCACCGCCTTTTATGGCTTTGGCACAAGGTGGGAATCTTTTGTCTTTTTTTGTCACCTCTCCTTCTAAATGGAAAAGCACCAGGTTTAAGATGGATTCCAGTATCAGGTGACATGTTCACGTATCCTGTGAGTCCCCAAGCCTCCATTTTTTCCGGCTGACTCACAGGAACACAGGAAGGCTTACAAGTAAACTGAGCCATTTATAACCAATTGTTCTAGTTAATGCAAGATCCTAAGCCACCATTGATGGCTCACACTTTGCATAATTACAATAGGACCTCAGAGTAATACTTCATATTTCTAGTTTTAGATACAAAAAGGATACATGCATACAAATAGGATGAACACACTCAGTAGATTATAAAATTTGTAATGATACGTTAGAAGAGACCTTTTGCATGAAGCATATTCCAGTTACATCATATTCACACTTATAAACATATTTCCATAAAACATATGGACTGCAATATCACAGACAGCACTTTGAAGTTCTGTTTCAGGATGGAGTTTGGGCTCTGAAGTCTGCCCTCTTTGGCTTCAGAGCCTGGCCCCCAAAGCACTGTCTACGTGCTATTTTTAGGGCATTAATGCAAACCCCGCTAGTCCAACTCTATCAGACTGGGCTGGGAGGCTTGCTGCCATGGGCTGTGTAACTATACATTCATAATGTATGTTTACTGCAGATAACGTGTTGGCTATATTTTAGGACTCTATAGTAAAGCCTCCTGTTGTTGCCATTTCTAGTTCATTCCATTTATCAATTACTCAGGAGAGCTGCAGCTAGAATCTTTTAGTGGCCTGTTCCTTTTAAATATGTGCCCCCTGAAGCTGTTTAATTTTTGGTTAAGTCTCTCTTCAAAAAAGAGAAAATCTTCAGTCTTACAGAAACGCTAGTTTATGTGGTACTATTCAAGAAAGTACATGTTTAGTGCCATGAAAGATCATTGAATTTGTTCACACCAGGCCATATGATATGGTAGCACAATAAAGCTCCACCATTCTAACTGGATTCCTGCCATAAGGAGAAAAGTATCTTCTCTCCTTTTTAGAAGTGCAAGTTTAATATTTTTAATACAGGTATTTCCCACTTCTTGCCCCCCATCCTCCTGCAGGAGGAAAGTAGTCTGCACAGCAATTGTGTGTTTTTTATCAAAGCCATTAATATGTTGATTGAGCTAAAGTTTGTGAGAACGTACACACAATGGGAGTGCTACTTTTATGGGAGCTATGAGCAAACATTTAAAGGCAGGGGTTCTCAAACTGGGGGTCAGGACCCCTCTGGGGGGTCACAAGGTTATTACATGGGGGGTCATGAGCTGTCAGCCTCCACCCCAAACCCCGCTTTGCATCCAGCATTTATAATGGTGTTACTTCTTAATATATGGGGGGGGGGGTGTCACACTTAGAGGCTTGCTGTGTGAAAGGGGTCACCAGTACAAAAGTTTGAGAACCACTGATTTCAGGGCAGAATTCAACCCTTTAAGCTTGAAGGGGTCTAGAAACTAGCAACAAAAATATTTAGAGGTATGTTAAGATTTTTCTTATACAGAGGGATTGAAAAGAATGGGGCTATTGAGACACAGAAAGGATATGATAGAGTTTGTAAAGTAATATAAGGTATAGAAAAAGTAATTTGTTAACCTTACTCATACAAGAATGACTGCAGCTAATGAATGTGAAAGGCAACAGATTACAAACTAATGAAAGGAAATATTCTTTAGCTCAATGGATAATGAAGCTATGGAACGCTTTGCCGCACGATGTTAAAGCAAAAAGCTGAATAGGATTTTAAAAAATAATTAGACGTTTGTTTATTTTCATTGTTTTCTAGTCTCCAATAAAAGGTCAGCTATCCAAAGCTCTTGCCAGTCTCTAAAAATGTACTTATACATAAACCGCTTGTCAATTACTCCAGGATCAAATCACCTAACTGCATTGATATTGTCCAACTTAATTTAAAAATTCAATGCTTAATCCCTTATCCACTGAAGCATCTGGTATTGGTAGCCCTGTTGGAGACTAAAATTAGGCTAGATGGACCACTGATATGATCATTCTTGGGATGTAAAGGCAGATAACCATGCATCCTTTGGTACCATGTCCTACCAATGCACTTCCACTCCAAAGACTAAGGGCCCTTGCTTTTTCTAGTTTTTAAGAATGCTTAATTGGCTTTATATATTTTTCTATAAAGGCTTTAAGAACTGGTGAAAATGTAGTTTAGAATAAAACATTTCTGACTTAATGGAAATTCTAAATGTAAAAACAGTGGATGTTGTTTGTCACAAAAACAGGATTTTTTTGTTATAGAAAATCTTTTTTTGTTCTGCTCACTAGACAGTTGGGAGGGGGGGAGAATGAAATTTACCATTTTTCTTTATTTTTTAGGTGGGCACAGTTCTTCATTCACCCACTAATGATCAGGGATGCAATTGACCGGGAAGTTGAGGCTGTGGACAGTGGTGAGTGTAATGTTCTTCTCAGCAGTATTCCCCACCCCTGCGCCCTCCCCCTCCACCATTATTCTTTAGAATGTTTGGTGCTTGTTATAACAATATATTGCAAAACTCCCCACTTAAAGTACTGAGTACTGAATTTATTTAGATACTGTTTCCCTCAAATATAACCAATATGCTCCACTTCTGATTCACCACATGTTCTAGTAAAGCCCAAAGTAGTATCTAATTGGGCAGGGAGTACCTAAGTTTTCTGACAATAAGGCAGTACATATAGCTGACAGAAGCACGTCTGAAAAACTTCGCTAAATCAATAAAGCAAAACAAAACTGAAGTACAGAATGAAAAAGAATTAGGTTAGAGGTAATCTGCAAAGAGGTGAAAATGGTTGCTGCTGCTTTTTGATGCTCTGATACATAAAGAAGACCTGAAAGGGGTGAGTTTTTAGGGAAATATTAAAAATATTTTTTCTTCTTGTTTTTTAAGGTAGGAATTATAAGTATGGTCTTCCCTGATTTTGTTAGAGGACATACTAACGGCCCCAAATGTGTATTGTGAACTTTCTCATCCCTTCCACTGAATATGATCTTTAACAAGGACGTCTGTTCTCTGAAGTGCTTCTCAGGGGGCTGAGTTAAATTTAAGTTAACTAAAACAGAGTTTAAAACAGTCTAAGAATCCCTCATGCTTCAGCAGCTCAGTGTTCAATCTTGATTTCTTAATCCTGCTGGAGTTCCAGGGTAGATAAACTTTTGCTATAAATTACAAGGGATAGTAATATTTAACCTGTTCTATTGTACTTTCTTTTTTAAAGGTCCAATTCCGCAAGGTGTTGCCGGTTCTCTATTCCCAGTAAATGGAAGTTGAGGGCATGCAAAACGTTGCAGGATTGGGCACTAAATGTCTCTCTCCCCCCTCACCCTCCCTTGGTTTTCCCTTCCCTCCCCATACTTGGCTTCTCAGCAATGAACTGAGGTTTTGTTCTCTTCTTTGTCCATTTTGAGCCGGGGGTGGGGGGGAGAAGTGATGTAGTTCAGCTACTTCACTGCTGCTTCATGTGCCTGGCAAAAAATGCTCCCAGTGTTGCTCCATATAATGTATCCCCTTTCAAGGTTAGTATTAGTTACATAGCAACATTGCCTCACATAGTGATGTTTATACAGTGCTAATGCTTTAAATTAACAGAGTATCAACTAGCAAGACCCTCTGATGCAAACAGAAAGGAAATGCTGTTTGGAAGCCTTGCCAGGCCTGGGCATCCTATGAAGAAATTCTTTTGGGGTATGTTCTTTTCTGACACTCTAAGACTTCATTAAACATGTGGTGTTAGAAAAGGTAGTAAAATGTCTTAACGATATGGGATTATTTGTAGTATTGCACTAAAATCTGGTGGCAGTTGAAATGCGTGAAAACAGTTCTTCATTCTGAATACAGTAAAACACTTTGGGATAAAAGGTGCAACATCTATTTAATATATTTTCAATATTTAGCTGGTGCTAGTTAGACTGGCTCATGGTCAGTTTGTGTTAGCGTACTGGTGATGCTCTTTAGGGAAGCCCTGGTTTGCATAACCTCTTGTCTTTTTCCTTTAAAAATCCTTGGGAAAATAAGGTTTGTATCTGGACATAAAAGAAAAAGTACATGTGGGCTCACAAGGACTGAGTCTAGGAAGGTATTTCAGAAGAGTTGGTTCAGTCTCAGGGCTGCAGTAGCAGATGAAGAGTTGCTTCTCTGCCATTCCACAGCCTTGTGGGTGGGAGAGAATTCACTTCATATGGTCCCAGGAGAGCCCTTCTGCACCAAGTCCCAAGTGTGCTGCTGTGCGTAAGTTACAATCTAATGCTTGTGTTAAACCTTATCAGCTTTGAAATCTAGTCAGGTTAAAAAATGGAGTGTAGTTCCATGTGCTACATCTACAGCTGAATCTCTCCTGACAACTGTTTCAGTTTTACAGTCACATTTTCCTTTTAAATTAGTTGTGCAATAGGGGAGAAAGTGTTGCATAAATAGGGGAAACAAAAAGGCCATACACCAAGAGCTGTCCACAGTGCACAAAGTGAACAGACAGAAAACACTTTTTCCTGAAATATTTGTTACTTGTTACAATACTAAGTAAAAACTGAGTGAAGTGTAACTTCAAAGTTGATGTTCCTTTAACTCTGTTTTCTGGCAGTTGTTTTTGTGTGTTAATACAGAACCTTAACATTAGTTTAAAAAGTCCTGTGTATGTTTTCAGCATTTCTTTGTGTATTTATGCCATTAGAACACTCTGTGCCAGATCCTGCATCCCTTGCATGTACAGAATTCCTGTTGGCTTTACTGGGAGTTTTTGGTACTCAAGGAGTCCAAGACTGGGTCCTGTGATCTTATGTTATATGAGGCTGTGGCATATCAGTATCCAGATAACTGACCATTTTTTGAATATATTTACAGGCAATGCAGAGACACTCAAACATGAGCCTAAAATGAATAATATTGATACCTACACCAGGCTGAGGGATTTCTGGCAGCGCTATTACTCTGCTCACTATATGACTTTAGTCGTCCAATCTAAAGGTAACAGCAGTTGTTGCTTATATACAGTCAGTTATATACTGCTTTGAAATAGTGGTCTGTTTTAAGTCTCAGCTTAGCTCTAGCCCCATCTGCTTACATAGTGCTTCACGTCTGTGACTTGTATTGTTCTACAGGCTTGCTGGGCAAGCATCTATGTGCATAGCTTTTAAACATTTAAATTAGTTTTTAGGAATGTCTTGGAGTTCTAACCATCAGTTGTGAAATACCTAACCAGGGAACCACAAGCTTGAATCCTGACTTGAAACTCTCATCTGTCTTTGATGTCCTTACGTTGATTTCCAGCAGCTTGCTTTTTGTGTGTTTTCAGGTGAGATCTTCACACAGAAGATCCGTTTTCTCTGTATGGAGACTAGAGATTCTGTGACTTTTTTTTCAGTAGGAATTAGGGGTTTGTCCTGGGCAAAACTGCATGGCACACACCACAACTGAATGCAGGTGAAAGTGACAACATTTCAGTAGTGAAATGATTTTGTACTTTGGGCTGATACATTCTATAAATGACATCCTGATCGACCTTGTGTTAGATCTCAGTTCAGCAAAGCACTTAAGCTTGAGGTTGAAGGGAGTTTATCATGTTCAGTTAAGCATGTGTTTGAGTCCTTTACTGAATAGGGATAGACTTAAGCAAACTCTTGAAGTTAGGTATGGGCTTAAGTGCTGCTTTTGAGCCTAAAATTCTCTGTGCCTCAGTTCTCCATCTGTAAAAATGGGGATACCACCTTTTCCTCTCTGACCTTTATTTTTCCTATCTAGACTGTATGCTTTTCAGGGCAGAGTCTGTGTGTTACCAGACTTTTGTACAGTACCTACCAGGTTAGGGCTTCTATAGATGCTACTATAATAATGGAAAACATGCTAAGTTGGATGCATTGGCCTTGGGTAGTATTTGCAAAAGGCAGATTACATTGATAGTAGTTCTGTTGGTTTTGCTTGTGATTGGAAGAAATGCATGGGAACCACTAGCCCTGCATCTCTGTTAGTTCCATCTCTGTTAAAAAAGTGATGTTTGCACTCCAGCACTTACCAATTTAGAGAGAACTGGCCTGCTGTCTCCCTAAATTAACTTGGGCAAATGGGGCAGGTTTAGTAACCTGCCCTTATCATGAGAATCTGCCTTTGTCCTTCAGTAAGGTGTATTTTTTTTTTTCTCTCCTTACTAGAAACTCTGGATACTTTGGAAAAGTGGGTGACTGAAATCTTCTCAGCGATCCCAAATAAGTAAGACTCTTTTTTGGTTACTTTCTTACATGGAAGCTGTGAAATTACATTGAAGACTTACAAAATTCCATGCATGCACTATTCAAAACTGTTGCGATTTTAAAAATGGCATTTCTCCATTATTGAGGAAATTATCCTCTTCTGACTGAATACTGTTTGACTTTGGAGGCTAAAAGTTAGGTTTTATTTTGGTTAAATATTTCTTAATGTTTTTGCATAGCAAGTTTTAAGCATTTAAGATGCTATGGGGTATCTGCCTGAAGTTGGAGCATGATTGGCATCTGCTACACCTGTGCTGGTGCCTTGTTGCCTGCTGTGGTTGGATGGTAAATTATAATCTGCAGTTACAGCATTCTAAATCTTACATCACTGCTTTGTGTTAGATAAATGCAGCAAGTTACAGCTGAATAATGGTTTGTGGTGATTGTTAGCTGTCATCTTTATAGCTACAACAGATTTTAATTGTGGCTTTCCAAACTAATACAGTATAATCCACTGTAGCATGCTGTCTAAAATGGGCACGTAATCCAAATGTTGTCTTAACCTTAAAATTGCTGAATTTATAGGGCGTATCCCCTCAATTAACAATAAAATAATATAAATAAAACAATCTTACCAATTTGTAGCTGAAAATGACTGTTTCCCCCATCTCATACCTGGTGTGAACACTTCTTGGTGTGTTACAGAACACTGGGTGACTTACACACTCTTCCTCAAACTGCAAGTTCCTGCTGACAAAATAATCTTTGTTTAAAGATGGCACCCTTTTGTTTACTTATTTATGTCAATATCTCTATTAGAAATCAAAGAGGGATAGGGAAACAAGGGGCTCTTACAACCTACCAGGCACTTAACAAGGTGTGGTGGTGCAGTCTGTGTGTGAATTTTGTGATATTCTTGCCTGCACCTGCTCCAAACTTCTGCTCCATGCTAGCTTTGGGAGGTTTGGTGCCATCAGTGGATTGATGTGCCCAAAACTTGGGGGGCAGGGTTTGTGGAAGTACTCAGAGGACTGGTGAATGTAGTGTTTCCTTTTATTCGGGATGTTTGTAGCTCTTGTGCCCTAATCCAGAGTCACATCAAAAGACTAGACATTTTGGTTCTCTAGGGGCTTGAGGTGATCATCACTTCAGGACTGTGGGCATAAAGCAGCTTGTACATGCCTCTGTGTGAACCTGGATCATGACAAGTAAACATCATGCTACATACTTCTATTTTATTTTATTTATTTATTTTTTTAAAAGTGGCTTACCCAGGCCAAGCTTTGGTCACCTGACACAGCCTTTTGACACACCAGAATTTCACAAACTTTACAGAGGTGAGTGAACTGATTTCTTCTTTCTGTATTGTTAAGTGTTCTAAGTTGGAATTGTATATATCACTGTGCAGATTCTTATTTCTTTGTTTTAAAATGGACAATTTATTTTTGTTTTAATAATGTAGGGTTATATATTTTTCCCATTACTTTCTGCATTAAATACAATATTTTGCCCACTTCTGATTTATCAGACTTAGAGACAGGAGTAGTACTGTATTTGCATTTAATTAATACATTTCTTCCTGTTCAGTTGTTCCAGTCAGAAAAGTTCATTCATTGAGCATCACCTGGGCACTTCCCCCACAGGATCAGCATTACAGGTGAAGTTGGACAACATCTTATTGATGACATATGCTTGACTATAGGAAAAAAAAATCCTCTAAATAACTGAGGCTCTTAAGATTTGTTCATATTGCAAGTTGTGCTGGCTTAAGTAAAGGTGTGTTAAAATTAATCTAAATAAACTAGTGCAAACCCCTGTGTGGACACTCTTAAACTGATTTAAATCTGTTTTATACAGATTAAGCTTAAATTGATGATCAATAAACGAGCTGTTCATCTTAATGTCCTGATTTATTTTCAGTTGAGTCATTATGTTCTGTCTACCTAAATTCCACTTCTATTTTCAATTTGATATCTCTTTATAGAGATGCTGTTTAAAGATGACACTTGTCACGGGTGAATTGGGCAGTGTATAATGGAGTTGTTTGTCTGGTGATTTGGGATCTTCGCATAAAAGATGGTAGTTTTACCTCTTGTCATTGTAAACTTTTTTTGTTTTAGGGTAAAGCCACTTCACTATATCTCCTGGCTAGTGGGACATGAAGGCAAAGGCAGTGTTCTTTCCTTTCTTAGGAAAAAGTATGTATCAGATATCAATACTGTCCACTGTAATAAAAGTGAAAAATAATATTCTAAAGTGAAAATATTTGGGAAAATTGATCTAAGATTAAGAAGAGGCAACTTTTCTTGGTAATTCCCTTTCAAGTTTGTGGCAGCAATGTTATTTAAGTAGTTTAGGATACTCTGAGAATTTACTTCCTTATTGTCTTGGTACCAGAAACAAAAAATGCAACCAGAATTGGAGACTGACACTTGGAGCACTCCAGCTGAAAAGTTGTATATGGAAACCTCTGTTTTTGTTAGAGCTGAGGATTAAGGTGGTAACACTACTTTTAAACATGAACAAAATGCTTGTTGTTAATCGGTTTTCAAATCCCAAATGTTGAGAATAGAGATGTTCTGTGAATTCAGAATTGCAAATTTATATGTAAAGAAAATGAATTATTTTTCTTACCTATCATGGTCCTGAAAGTTCATTGCTTCCCTTAGAGTATTTGGATAACACAGTGTAAGAAGCACTGTTCCTACAGTGTAAAAACCAGGCATGTAATCAGCACTTGTGGGAAAACAAAGTAGTCATGATTTGTTCCAGCAGCATATTTGATCTTTAAAAAACATTTTTGGTTCATGCTAAATAAATCTCAAGAGGGTGTATGCCCTTCTAGAATGTCCTGTTTTTAATTTTTTATTTCTCAGAGCTTTGCACTGTGTTTTGTGAATTGGTAGAAAGGTATCTTCTAGTAGTCAGTTTTGGTATCTCTGCAAGTCCTTCAGGCAGTCCTTTCATTATGCAAGTCTGAAATAAGCGTACTGTAATTATAGCCGTATTTCAGGATAGCTTTTAACTGGAATAATGGATACTGGGTTTAATTCTTCAATAGATTTTGGGCCCTTGCATTATATGGAGGAAATGGTGAGACAGGATTTGAACAGAACTCCACCTACTCTATCTTCAGCATTTCTGTGACTTTGACTGATGAAGGTTACAAGCACTTCTGTGAGGTAAACCTTATTGCAACTTGGATTTCTGACCATTTTGGTATTTCCAAATGTCAAAAAACTTTATCAGTTTGTCTTTGTCTTCAGGTTGCACATGTTGTATTTCAGTATCTGAAGATGTTGCAGAAAAGAGGGCCAGATAAAAGGTAACCATTTAAATCCTTTGTAGTGTGTTGTATCTTTTTTTACTTTTTTGATAAATATATATATGAGAACAGATGCAAAGAATCAGTGGTGGTGGGGGTTGGGGGGAAGCTTTGGTTTAAAAAAAGCCCCAGGAATTGTAGGTCACCATAAAAAGGCAATATGACAAACTGCAGAGGAGCGGTAACTGTCACCGACTGGGGTTTGCTGACTGCTCTTGTATGCTTTAGGGAAAGGGTTAGTGTTCAGAGAGCACAACCATATGTGCTCTTACCTTAAGTCATTTCCATTTGAATGACCCAAGTGCTCTGATTTTAGGGCTGGAAAAATAGCACCGGTTTACCTTAAACTGTTTTTTAAACCAATATAAACTGGTGCTAGCTCCTGTTTATGGACACTTCTTTCTGTCTAAGAGCAGTTTATTTTGGTTTAACTTAAAGTTGTTCCTAACAGACTTAAGGTAGACCAAGTAAGCCTGTTTTAAAGTGCAATAAGTGTCCATGCAGCCTTTTACACTGATTAACTAAATTTAGTTTAAAATAATACTGCAGTTAAACTGGTTCAGCTCAGCATGTAGACATGCCCTTAGTGGGACATCCCTGCATGCCACATCCTTCCCAAATAGTAAGCTCAAGCATTTCTGAATGTGGTGTAGTAGTTGGAGCCTGAGACTAGAAGTCATGAGTTCTGGGTTCAGTTTTCAGTTCTTCCACTAACTTGCTGTCTGATCTTGACTATTTTGTGATTCACTGTCTCCATCTATAATAAGGGGATGATTATTTGTAGGAATAATGTGGGCCAACTGACAAGGGTAAACTGCTTTTGAGATTCCCAGATAAAACGAGTTGTATGTGTATTTTGAGTGCACCTCTCACAGATGTATGAAGAATTATTGCAGAGAAGCTGACTTGAATTTCCACTCTGATATCCTGCCTAGAAATAGTGTTTCATTCGTGTCTTGGTAATAAATGTTGCAACGTAATGGTGAAACTTTTTTCCTCCTACAGAATTTGGGAAGAGATCCAGAAGATTGAAGCTAATGAATTTCATTACCAAGAACAGGTACTAGTTAATCTTCATAGTTGCTTTGTGTGTGTAGCTTGTCTGTCAGAGGATTTGCAAAATTCTGATCTCGCAATACTTTGAAAACATAAATGAGATAAGGCAGAACGAGAATGTGTTAGAATTCATATTCTAGGTAGAGAAATGTTAGACTTTTGACTTGTGAAATTGTCCTTTAACAAAACCAAAACACAACTCGAATTTTTTGCATGTGGTGTTCTTCCAAGGGCTGTCATCCCTTTCTTCACTTTTTGATCATCTTTCCTTGCTTATTATGGTCAGTTTCTCTTTATCTTCCGATCTATATTGTGAAATCCTTGCAGATGGAACCTTGTCTTGTTTACCAGTAAGGTGCTATGAATGCTAATGTTGCCCTCCCCGCCCTCCTTCTCCTCCCCCAAGCATTTCTGCATACTCTGTTTTGTGGAGAAACAGCTCTTGGTACTGTGACACTTTGGAGCACTTAACACATCAGCGCTGCTTTCTGTAATAAGGGGTGGAGGGTGAGTTTGGCCCAGAAGTGGTAAGGTGTTAATGCAATCCTTGTTCGCTATTAAAGCATTAAACAGTTAAGTGTGGTCTGTGGTTTTGTGTCAGGTTATCACTGGCTTACTCCCATTGTAATAAAAGCTTTTTAACCTTTTAAGAAAGATACAGGAAAAGAAGGAGAAACACTTAAAAGCATTTAAAATGGAAAGTATTAAGGCTTTCGTTGTAACAGTATCCCATTATTCCCTTTCCCTTTAGCTAGTCTCTTACAGGAAAGATGCCTGTTTGACGGTATTTTCAATGGTATTAACTGTCTCTTTTGAGGAAAAGAGAAAAGGTTAGTTTAGATCAGTGGTTCTCAAACTTTTTGTATTGGTTACCCCTTTCACACAGCAAGCCTCTGAATGTGACCCCCCCCCCCCAAAATTAAAAATAGGGGTTTTTAATTTAATTTAATGGGGGCTTGGGTTGTCAGCCCCATGCGTGGTTGATGGACAGCTCACAACCCCCACGTAATAACCTCGTGACCCCCAGTTTGAGAACCCCTGGTTTAGATGGTTTGGAGCTGTTGTTGAAGTCCAACTTTGCTTCCTTTAAGACAAAACAAGACACACATACACACTAAGTGGGAGAGAAGGATAGCAAAGATAACAAATGCACCATGGGTAACTTCAGAAATTAAGGCGTTTCTGAATTGTGGACTGGAGTTAGGCTAAATAGCTGAACTAGTGCAGCTGAAATCACAGCTTCCGAGTTCCTCTCGGGTGTGATTACCAGGTGGTACAACTGGCACTTGTTAAAAAACTAGGGACAGCTACTGTTTGTATATGCCAGTGGTTCTCAACCTATTTACCATTGTGGGACACACATGTGGGCTGCATCCAATACTGCCTGTATGGCACTGAGGATCTCACATGGGCTGCAGCTCTGTGCTGATTGGGCTGCAAGTGTCCCATGGGCCGCAGGTTGAGAACCTCTGGTATATGCCTTGCATCCACATGTTCTAACCAGTGGCATCTTGCAATGCCTTTTTTTCCTAGTGTAAACAGACCCATAATTGTAGCCAGGATAATACGGTTATTCTTTTTGCTTTTGTAAAAGTACAATCCGATCTAACTTCTCTGCAGATAGTCACAAGATAGGGAGAAAGTAGAAACCTTTTCATTCATGTTTCTTCTTAAGGATGAGCCCTCTAATGTTGCAGGGGTGGGGAGAAGTGGGTGTTTGAGCACCATGAGTAAGGATTTGTTTATGAATTGCATTTAGGCTCAGTAACCAAAACTAAAACTCAACAAGTGCAGCACACAATAAACTCTATTTAGGAAAAAAAGTGAACATTTCAGATGTCTGATGAGTGAAACACCATTTTACTTGTTTACAGACTGATCCAGTTGATTATGTGGAAAGCCTTTGTGAAAATATGCAGTTGTTTCAGAAAGAGGACTTTTTGACAGGAGACCAGCTTTTGTTTGAATACAAACCTGATGTAAGTAGCACTGTAGCTCTGAACATGTATTTGAGGTGTAAAAGTTTGGGAAATTCAGACCTATTGGAATGGGTTTTCTAGGTTACTTGCATCACTTCTGAAATGAAAAAAAATTTAGAAAGCAAATCGCTTGGTTACAGATCTACTCTTAACCTTTTGTTTTCTGGATTTTCAGAATAATTTTAAGTTTTACAGCTTGACAGACACAGCTAAAGTTGCATTTGAACTCAGATATTGGTTTATCTTTGTAGGTCATTGCTGATGCCCTTAACCAGCTCTGCCCTCAGAGAGCCAACCTGGTTCTGCTGTCTGCTGCCAACGAAGGAAAATGTCATCTGAAGGAGAGATGGTTTGGGACACAGTACAGTGAGGAAGGTAAAATGACCGTTTGAGGTATCTGAGGTGACAGAGGCTATTAAACAGGGTGGCAATACAGCATGCAAGTACACAGGAGTGGGAGGATGATTTCTCAACTCTGATCTTGACCTTATTATGAGTCAGTAGAGGCTTAGGTGCTTTGTCCTATTCTATAGCTACTCTTTTCTGTCTGTGGCATGGGCTGAGTCCCCCTCTCTATGCCTGATAGGGAGGTCCTTTTGTTACAGGGTCTTTTTTGGGAGGTGGAGAGTCATGGTGAGTCTTCCAGTTCCTCAAGTCAGTACTGAATAGAGATTAAAACTTACATAATGAAGGCTAAGGCAATATGTTTTTGGTAACGTGATGCTAATGCACACAGCCTTGCGTTTAAAGCATGACTATTGTTTATAAGTTTGCTTAAAGTGAGGTTTGAGCAGAGGCTTAAGAGGAGACAGGAAAGGTGAGCCAAATGGCATCAGGAAAGGATACCCAGTCTTTTGGCTGACAGGCATGGAGAGAATCATCTAAAGGAAAGAATTATTATTCAAAGAATCTGTAGCTAGATAGCTTATCTGCTTTCAATTTAATGTTTTTCACAGATATTGATAAATACTGGAGTGATTTATGGGCCAGTGACTTTCAGTTAAATGAGGACTTGCACCTACCTGAAGAAAATAAATATATAGGTGAGTGAGACACCAGTATTTAGTGGACTCTGTCATTTTTGTCTTCCCTGACATTCCCTTTGAGGATAGGGGTTTTCCTAGGACATGGTCTTTGTTTTCCTTTTTTATGAATGTTTAGTTTATTTAAAAACTGTTTCTACTGAAATAGATAAAAATTCAGAAACAATTGTTTCCATATTTTCTATTACAGACTCTTATAAGTTTAAATTTTTGGCCAAATTTGACCTGACAATGTCTCTTATTTTAAAATACTCCTTAGTACAAGGACCAGGTAACCAAGCAGAGCAGCCATGGTGCACTCGTGAATCGCTTGCATACAGCTATGAACAATGGTACCTGGATTATTGAGAGAGCAGTGTAAGGTTATTCCCTTCTCTTCTGGGGAGGGAAACACAGACCCTTAAATAGCATCTGGATCTGTTAATAGAAGCAAAAAAACCCAACAAACTTCTCTTGAATAGGCTATAAAAGGCCTCCTCTCTTTACAGTGCAATGACCCATCCATTCTTCACGGAAGGGCAGTGTGCAACTGAATGTACTATAGTGACATGAGAGAGGACAGCAGCCTGCCTACAGTTTTGAAATCTGCACACTTGTGTTAATGGCTGTGGAATTGAGATACAGTAACCCACATATTCTGTTTTTACATTAGCCACTGACTTCACTCTGAAAGCACCTGATTGCCCGGAGTCGGAATATCCTGTCAAAATACTAAGCACACAACAAGGCTGTCTGTGGTACAGGAAGGATGATAAATTCAAAATTCCTAAAGGTAATGCCTATTAACTGATATATTACACACAATATGCAAAGCAAAACTTTTCATATGCAGTAGTAGTCATCTAAAATAGTTCTAGACATTTATTTAGAGTTAGGACTTGTAGCTTCACTTCCATCTGATTTCCAAACAGCACTGAGCATCACTCTAGTTGCCATTGCACTTGTAACCCCCCTTTTGTGTTTAGCTCCTTGTTTAGGTGGCTTAGGGTTGGAGCTTGGTGTTCAGATTTTTGGCTAGGGAGTTATAATCCTTCACGACATAACCCTTCCCCCCCCCCCCCCCAGCTAGTTGTTCAAAAATCTTGCTTCTGCTCCTCTTCCCTACCATTCCTAGTTTCAGTTGGTGTTGCTGTCTGAGGTTTAGAATGTGAAGTCTTGAGGACATCCATTCCTCATTTGGACTGTTGTTTCATTGGATTTTGCCTGACTATTGTTTATAAGCCTACTTGAAGTGATTGTTGTTAAATTCTAGGTGCCAGTTGCTTGCGTTTGGCCTAGAAATTGTGGTCGTCCCTAGAGGCCCTAATCAAAGTGACTGGGTTCCATTGTGTGAGGCACTACACATACATATCCGCAAACCCCAAAAAGACCGTTCCAGCCCAAGAGTTTACAGTTTAGGTAACTAATTCAAGTGTGACTTGCAGGCAGCAGCATGTGGTCTCTTTAGACCCTTCATTTTTGTTCATGTGCTGGCAATTTTCTCCCTGTCTGCTATCACTGTTGCATTAAAATATTGTATAATTTCTCTGTTTCATTAATCTCTATTCTGCACTACTTTAAAGTAATGTGTTCCTCTTTCAGGGCTTTGTGTCCCAAAGGCAAGGATTCCACATCTTTCAAAATTGAAAAGACACAATTTCATGCACGTCCCGTCTATGGAGAGCTGTCCGGCACAGCAGTTTTTACTAACTGAAATACCAGACCATGTTGTCTGGGGATTTTCTTTAGGGCTACCAATGGGATGATTCATTAACACACCTTTTGGTTTGTGTTTTTAAGGGACTGTTAAGGAAAAGTTAGCACATGTGACTCCATTTTGGTTTGGGACCCACCATTGTTTAAATGCCAGCACATCATACACCAGGAGGAGTGATCCTTAGATACTGAATCCCTGTGAAAATTCTCCTCCTTGTCTCCAGCCTGCCTTGACTCCCAGTATCTGGTTTTTGTCAGTCTCTAACTCCCTGTCTCTTGGCCTTGATGTGAGGCCTCCCATCCTGATAATAAAGGTTACTGATGCATGGCTTTAGGACCATGCTGTTTAATTAACATACTGGTTTAGCACGAGGAATGCACCAAGCAGGGATAGGTGGTAGATAAGACAAGGGTTTGTTTATTGGCTAAGGTTTCTGATGCACAAGGGCAACATGCTTTGCTAAAAAGTATATAACCTTTGTATAATCTGTAATCGGGGTCCCCTCCTGGCTAGCAGGGGGGCACCACGCTCGAGCGTAATAAACTTAGTGTCTTTTGGGAACTCTGCAGTTGTGGACTTTGTTTATGTGCCTCAGCCTAGATTCGAACTGTGCGTGTCCTACCAGGTGTAATTCGTAGCATTTGTGTGCGTGTCCTACCAGGTGTAATTCGCAGCAGTTGTGTGCATGTCCTCTCAGGTGTAATTTGTAACAGGATAACTCTTTTGCTTAGAGCTAAGCAGCTCTAAAGGCCAATGCTAGAGCCATGTTTTAAGAATCCCTAAAGACTCAGTAAAGTATATTTCAGGACTAGGCACCAAGAGTGCAATTCCTGGAGCTGGAAAAGCACCTAATCTCTTTAGGTCTCATTTCACCATATGTAAAATGTAGATATGTAGATGATACTAATGGTGAAATGAGACGCTGCTTCACAAGATTGTCGAGTGGAACCCGTTAATGTTTGTAGAGAGCTTTGACATTGTTTAATGGTTAGTGCTATAGAAGTGTAGATTGTTGTTATACCTCTCATACAGTGAGAACCATGAAAACAAATATTTATTATTTACTACTCAGTGGCACTATAGCTGATGTATAGGCTTGGAAGGATTAGATTTTTATCAGTAAATGTCCATTTCACTGTACATATAAACTGACATCAATGATAATCGAAATTTACTGATAGGTAAAGTAAGAAAAATGCTGCTTGAGAACTTATTAAAGTTTGATGTAAGGATATTTACTTTATATATTTTGACATGTGACATTGACAATTTGTAATTTAATGGTTATAAAGCTTTATCTTTTTGAACATCAGTGACTACTGTCATTAAATAATTGTTTCCTCTCCAGTTGTCTGACCCCCTTCTAATTACCTGTAACAGTGAACATTTAAAATGATTTAAAAAAAAAGAAGGAAGTGCTTAAAAATAAACATCAATACTATTCATCAACATTTTTTTAAATCAAATTCTGCCAAGCCTACTATAATCTGATAGTTATTTCCCATTCTAAGTACTGGGAAATATTGCAGTATTTCCATTACCACACTTTAATAACTGCTTGACAAATGGAGAGTTCTTTTGACGGTGTAACTGAGGGCAGAATTTTTCAGACAGAGTATCTTACTCTGGAAAGGAATCCACTTTGAGTTTGCAGGCTTGGTGGTTATAAGAACTGTAGGTTTTTCCCTTTAAACTGAAAAAATGTGACTTGGAATCCTTGAGACTCAATAAATGTGGAAACAATGTTGCCATTTTTGAGTTATGTTTTCAAGCAGGTGGCATTTCAGTTTTCAATTAGTGACGCTCTTTTAGGGTTTGTATATTTTTAGAAATTGTTGTTGTACAACCTTTGCATTGCTTTTAAATAAAAGTATAACATTAATTTTTGGAAAATATAATTCAAATGCGTAAAGATAAGGTCTCTGCCTCAGTCAGTTTACAATCTGGTTATGTATTGTCTGTTATCAAACTAAAATGCCTCTTAACTCCCACAGTATAAATGTATTGTCGTGTCCCCCCACCCACCAAAAGTTCAATTGTTACCCAATATTTTGAAGTGAAGGTTTAAAGAGTAAGTGGGGACGGAAGGGAACTACTTTGGTGATTTAATACAGATAAAAATGTTGTCTCAGCTGAACAGACATTGTCACGTGGGGTTCAAATAAAATAACTGACAGGAAACAACAAATGGGGTGAAGGAAAAAACAGTTAAATGTTTAAAGCTGCATGTGTTTCTGCAGTTGCTCATTTGTGGGTTTTTGGGTTTTTTCCAGCTTATATACGTTTCCATCTGATATCTCCACTGATTCAGCAGTCTGCAGAGAAGTAAGAATTACCTTTCTCATGCTTATCTTGCAGAGCAGCCAAAATTCCTATATAGGGTTAAAAACAAACCCCACCCCTCCAATTAACTTGAAGATAGAGGAAACCCAATTGTTATGTTCTTTCATGTTCTTTACAGTTCAGTAGTTTTAGGGGAATGGTTTATTGGGAAGGGGAGAAGTATTCGTGTAGGAGAAGGGAAGTGTGTAAGATTTTTGGTACAGTTTTCCCATGGCAAAGGGCAGGGAAAATTAAAGTGACAGAATAGTAGCAGTGCATCTGCTCGAACAGAATGTTTCTGCAAAGGCTTTGTGCTGAAAAGATTTGCCTGTTGTAGACACTATAGCCAACGACTTGGGGAAAAGTGTGTAGGTGAGGGGGAAAGAGATTGAGAGCACCAGTTGGAGAGCTATAATATGTGAGCACATTGGATTACAGTTCAGCATGTGCAACTCATCCTCCCATTCATGGCACCCCTATTATCCCCGAGGTCAGACTATCAGTTGTAACAAACAGTATAGTGACTTTATCATAAGACCACTAAGGAGCTGCAAGGGAGGAGTGGGTTTTTTATATATCTTTGTAAAACTATTTTTCTGAAGGTATTGGTCTGAACTTTTAACCAGAAGCACTTGGTTCTAATTCTCTATGGCACTCAGAATTTTTAACTGGCTTAAAAGGACTTTTTCTTAAAGTAATCTTTTTATACCTGTTAAATCCTAATCATAGCAACTACCACTTCAAATAAAGCTCTCTCTCTCAAATTCCTTTAGCATATTTTCTATATTAACATCCCAATATTCAACAAACACACTTTACTATGAGCTGATGTTTCTTGAAATATACATTATTTATTCCAGTTGGATTTTAAACCACATATAGTAGGGGTTGCTTGTGTACTATCCTGATGTGCCTTGTAAAATAAATAACTTCTCTTTTCTCATCTGATGCAAAAGTATTTTAATTAATGCCAAAATGACCTCTAGGTAGCCCTGTGTTTTTTGATAGAGAGAGAAATTCACAGCTCTGTGTTTGTAGACTTCTGCATTACCCAGGACTAAATTTCTTGCAGAATACAAGTCCGTTTTTTAAATTTGGATTTTGTGATTTAAGTCTTAAATGTCTTTAGCTATTTAGTGAAATAATTCTCTAGGACACTTTGGCATATACCCTCAGACCCACTGACTTATTAGTGGTTTGTGTTTTTTCTCTTCCTTTTTGGGTTCCCACTTTTACCCTTTTCTTCATGCAGTGTGGTGCTTTTTGATACTTTTGTAAATATCCTCACCCACAACCTTGCCGAACCAGCATATGAAGCTGATGTTGCTCAACTGGAATACAAGCTGGTAGCTGGAGAGCATGGTTTAGTCATTCGAGTGAAAGGATTCAATCATAAACTACCAGTAAGTACTAGCAGTCTGTTTTCACTACTGTTAAGTCAACCAGCCATTTGCTGGGCATCATTTTCTAAACTATTCACAGCTCTGTCCTTAAATATTGGTGTCTATTAGTGGTCTTGCAACCCATTAATGGTTTTGTATACAGTTTAAAAAAAAAATCAGTCTTCCTGTTATGATGCTCACAAATCTGCAAGAGCAGAGAGACTGTAAGTTTCCAGGTTAGCAGGAAGGCATAGTGACAGGGATCGATGCTTGTGGGAGTGCAGGGGGGCATCACACCCAGCATGAAGTGCAGGAGACATTCAAGAAAGCTGGGTGTGGAACAGTGTTCCAGAGGTGATCAGATGAATTTATTAAAGGTTAACAAATTCTTCCCCCACACCACCCTCCTTCTTCCCCCCGCTGACTTACTCAGGACATGGCAGCCTCAAATGCTGTTGCTCTCTGGAGGCTGATGGGATGAGGAAGAGTAAGGGCTTGTCTGCACTACAACTATTACTGGGTCAAGGGACTTGGTTACAACACGGTTAAAACTTGTAGGGTAGATTTAACAAGGTGAAAGCCTTGGATAGTTCAAATTGCAACTGGGTCCTTTGACTTGATTACAGTTGTAGTATCTATGGGGCCAAAGTGTATCCTTTGAAATATACACAGCAAAATCTTCAACATGAGGGAGAAGGAAAATCATGGGTGTGGAGAGAATTGAGGCGCTGATCTGTACTGCATTCTGCAATTATTTAATGCATTCTCAGCTTCCATTAGTATACATAATTTTTAAAATGCACTCTTCCCCCCCTGCCCCCTTGTAGAGATACAGTAGTCAAAATAAACAAATGTTCTGCTGCCTTATTAAAGGAGACCTGCAAAGGAGGGATAATAGATTAGTGCATGCATGCAACAGGATTTGTTTGTGCTTATCCTTTATTTTAGAAATATCAGGAATACTGAGTCTTGTCCTCCCTGTCTTTTTGGGGGACGAGAGAACTGGAATGGGGGCTTTTGCAGCCCCCCATTGAAGGGGCATGGTTGTTGAATCTTTCACAAGGAGAGATTTTTTTCCAACTGTTTAGAATGCCTAATAATCAAAACAGACCCTGGAGATTTAAACAGTCTTGACTGAATTCCCTTTCCCTTCTGACTTGTTCAGGTATTTTGTGACGTCATCCTACTAATTCTCTAGTTGTCCAAAAAATAGAGAAGGTTCTGAATTTCTAATATAGGGAAAATGGTCTAGATTTCACATTCATCCTCTTCAGCAAATAATGTTCTCCTATTTGGTAAAAATAGCTTAGAAAACAACTTCTTTTTTTCTTTCCAGCTGCTCTTTCAGCTCATCATTGACCATTTGTCTGACTTCAGTTTTACTCCAGCGGTTTTTGAGATGATAACAGAGCAGCTAAAAAAGACCTATTTTAACATCCTCATAAAACCGGAGACCCTGGCCAAGTGAGTGTCTGTGGAGAGATTAAATGTGGATGGGCTTTTTCTGGTTTAGGTGGAGGTATAGTTAGAGTGGAGTTTTCTCTGCTTTCATTATGTTGTCATGCAGCTGCAGGAGTTCCCTGTTACAAGGATAAATTATTGTGCAGTATTCTGCATAGTCAGTGAATGCAATGAATCTTGGCGTCCTCAAGAATAGAGCACAGAACTTAAATGGTAACATTCTGCTTTATGGTAAGTGCTGGTGCAGCTGATTACATGACAAAGCAGAGGTATTTTTTTCATTCATATAAGGGGATGTGTATTGAGTAAATTACAAACCAACAAAAATCAGTATTAAACTCTTGTCATGCCATCTAATATCAAGAGAGGATGGCGTGAGTGGAGGAGAGAGGTGATTTGAGACCAGTAGAATCAGGCCAATCAGAGCTAATTTTACATACTAATATTAAAGGAAGTTGCAAATCTATTTCACAGTGGTGAGAGGGGTTTGTAAAAAATCTCCACTGACAAGGGCAGAAGTTAAAAAGAATTCTTGATAAAGCTCATGGACATTAATCTGACACTATTTTTATAAAAAGGCACATTTATGACACTTATACGGGTATGTGCCTGACATCATCATTTGAATTAAGAATTGGGGGGAAAAATAAACCTCTGATTTTAGTCTCCCCCAAACAAAATTATTTCTGATTTTTCTGAAAGCTGCAGTGGAGACCAGTTTGGATACTCTAAAGCGTTTTTGTCTGCTTATATAACCAATACAGTTCTTATCCTTTAAGATGAGACAGAAGTGAGCAGGAAAATACCCATTGCAGAAAGAAGATACAATAATTGTCTGATGTTACCTTAGAGACCACAGATTACCCTACGTTGATTTTACTCTGCAAGCGATAAACATAACTGTTAACTGGGAATCATGTTTAATGTCTAAAACTGCCTCTAAAATCATATAAGCCTTGTACCTCCTGTTCCAAAACACACATGATGCACTTTGTAGAGACAAAACTCATCCATTTCCTGGGGTTTGGCTTTATTAATTAAAGGAATTAGTAATAAGAATGCTCAGTCCATGCCCTTGGTCTGCTCTCAACACAGCTCGGTACAGAAGCCCGCCTCTTCCCTCTATTGCTGGCTGATGGAAGATGGGGCAGGATTGGCTTCAGCCCTTTTTGGCAGGACCCTGTAACAACTGTCTTGTCTTGTCTTGATTTCAGTGTGAGGTTTGCCAACCCCATCACATTGGATGCTCTTTAATAAATGAAGATGTTTCTTACAACTAATTTTATGGTGTAACAGAACTATCACAGGCTAAAGCCCAAGCCCGGCAGGCTACACAGCAGTGAAACAGCCCTGTAGCCTGATCCCCATGAGCTCAAGTTGGCTGGCACAGGCCAGCCGCGAGTTATCTAGTTGGTGTGTAGACATACCCATCTTGTCACAGCTAAATACAAGTTTTAGCATAAGTAGTTGGCACATATTCTAAGGGACCATTTAAGCTGAAGTGGGCTGTTAACACTCCTATAGTCATAGGACAAAATTGGGGAGTTAGTGGGTTACAGATCGTTGTAATAAGCCATAAATCCAGTGTCTTTATTAAGACCATGCTTTTTAATGTCTAGCAAAATTATGAATTTAAGCTCCCAGGTTTGTCTTTTGAAAGTGTTATGAAGGTTTTCTTTGAGGATGAGAACTGATAGGTTAGAAATAGAATAATTGTTTTGTTAAGAGTTCACCCACTGGTGATAGGGTGTTTTTGTCTTTTATCATTTTCCTATGTGAATTCATTTGAGACATAGTGATATTTGTCTGGTTTCACCCACATAGTTGTTGGGGCATTTGTTGCACTGAATGAAGTACACCACATGTTGTGATAACCTGTGTAGGATGGGACCCATGGATCTTTAAAGGTGTGTTGTTGGGGGGTGTTGATTGTTGATGTTGCAGAGGAGATATGTCTGCAGGTTTTGCATCTGTTCTGGCAGGGTCTGATACTGCTTTGATTTGGTGTGTCCTGGTCTATGGGGAACTTACTTCTGATGATGGGGGGAGGGGTGTTTGAAGGCTAAAAGACGGGGTTCAGGAAACTTTCTTTTTCAGGATGGAGACCCCATATGATTCCCAGTTTGGGATGGTAGGTGAGAACTTAGGGTGTGAGGTCAAAGGAGGTTCAATTTCTGTATTTAAGTGGGTTCTCAAGGTATTTGGTTGGCCTGTTCCATGATGCAGTCTGTTTCTCTGGGGGAATGTCCTTATTTAATGAAGGCAGTGTTAAGGCAGCAGTTCTCAAACTATGGGGTTGTCAGGGCTGGCATTAGACTTGCTGGGACCCAGGGCTAAAGCTGAAGCCCGGGGCCCAGGCTTTGGCCTTGGGTGGCTAGGCTCAGGTTACAGGCCCCCCACCCGGGCAGAAGCCCTTGAACTTCAACTTTGGCCCCCCCCCACCACCTGGGATGGCGGGGCTCAGGCTTTGGTCCCTGCCTTCTGGGGTCATGTAGTAATTTTTGTTGTCAGAAGGAGGTCGCAGTGCAATGAAGTTTGAGAATCCCTGCATTAAGGTATATATCCTGGACTTTCTCCATGGAGCATGTTCTGTGATGTATCAGTTCCTGGCTGTATATAACAGACTTCTTGATGTATTTGGGATTATTAATGGATCTACGAAGGTAGGCGTGGTGATTTGTGGGTTTCTTGTCGATTGTTGTCTATAGGGTTCCATTGTTGAAGTTGATCCTAGTGTCCAGGAAGTTGATGCCAGTGTGGGAGTGTTCCGGAGAGAATTTAATGGGCGGGTGGTGGTTGTTGAAAGTGGTGGTGTAAATCTGTGAGGGAGTTCGTTGGTGCGGAGAATGAAATTTCATTATGTGTATCGGGTATATCATTGGTTTCGTGGGTTGTCCCCAAAAATTCTTCAATCTATAATCCACTTCTGGTCCTATGACTACAGGGGTGTTAATGGGCCACTTGGCCTTGAATGTTCCCTTAGAATACGTGCTAATTTATGCTAAACTATCTGTTAGACCAGGGGTCTCGAAGTCCTGGCCCATGTGCCATCTGCAGCCTGAGAACCTCCCCACTGTGGCCTGCAGAGGAGAGAGGCATGCAGGCACCCTGCTGGCAATGTCCCCCGCAGCTTCTATTGGCTGGGGGAAAAGGGACGGAGATACCATCACTAGTTGCCAGGCAGAGTCAGCCATGGAGGCAGCGTCACTTTTTTACACAATGAAGATAAACAAATCAAAATACCGAACAGAACTCTCTGGTGCCCACCTCGCTGCAGTTCTGAAGGTTTCAACTGCTCAGTCACTGAGGCCAAACATCAACAAACTGACCGAACTGAAGCGTTGCCAGGTGTCCAGCGAACACGAAAAATTCTCGGGCAGGTGAAGAATTGTATAAAATTGTACGAAAGTTTTATTATTTCTAAGAAAGTCAAAATAAAAAATACAATAGAAACGTTTTCTTCTCTGAACACCATCTGCAGTGACCTTATTGGCCTGCTGGGAGGATTTGAGGACTGGCACTGGCCCTAAGGTAAATGGAGCTTGAGACCCCTTTGTTAGACCTTGTACGAAGCTGTGATGCGCCGAGCACCTTTCTCAGACCTGAGGAAGAGCTCTGGAGCTTGAAGGCTTGTCTCTCTCACCAACAGAAGTTGGTCCAGTAAAAGGTGTTACCTCGCCCACCATGTCTCTCGCATCCTAGGACTGACACCACGAGGATAACGACACTGCCTACTACTTTCATTTAATAGCCTATATTACCACATGCAGCTCTGCTTCTGAGAGATCATGGTGTGAACCCTTAGAGCTGTTCGAGTGATTTGTTAAAACTCCTGCAGTGGGGAAAAAACAGACCTATATCAGGTTTCAGAGGAACAGCCGTGTTAGTCTGTATTCGCAAAAAGAAAAGGAGTACTTGTGGCACCTTAGAGACTAACCAATTTATTTGAGCATGAGCTTTCGTGAGCTACAGCTCACTTCATCAGATGTATACCGTGGAAACTGCAGCAGACTTTATATACACACAGAGAATATGAAACAATACCTCCTCCCACCCCACTGTCCTGCTGGTAATAGCTTATCTAAAGTGATCAACAGGTGGGCCATTTCCAGCACAAATCCAGGTTTTCTCACCCTCCACCCCCCCACACAAATTCACTCTCCTGCTGGTGCTAGCCCATCTGAAGTGACAACTCTTTACATAATCAAGGTTGGCTATTTCCTGCATAGATCCAGGTTTTCTCACATCCCCCCCACCCCCATACACACACAAACTCACTCTCCTGCTGGTAATAGCTCATCTAAACTGACCACTCTCCAAGTTTAAATCCAAGTTAAACCAGAACATCTGGGGAGGGGGGGGTAGGAAAAAACAAGAGGAAACAGGCTACCTTGCATAATGACTTAGCCACTCCCAGTCTCTATTTAAGCCTAAATTAATAGTATCCAATTTGCAAATGAATTCCAATTCAGCAGTTTCTCGCTGGAGTCTGGATTTGAAGTTTTTTTGTTTTAAGATAGCGACCTTCATGTCTGTGATTGCGTGACCAGAGAGATTGAAGTGTTCTCCGACTGGTTTATGAATGTTATAATTCTTGACATCTGATTTGTGTCCATTTATTCTTTTACGTAGAGACTGTCCAGTTTGACCAATGTACATGGCAGAGGGGCATTGCTGGCACATGATGGCATATATCACATTGGTGGATGTGCAGGTGAACGAGCCTCTGATAGTGTGGCTGATGTTATTAGGCCCTGTGATGGTGTCCCCTGAATAGATATGTGGGCACAATTGGCAACGGGCTTTGTTGCAAGGATAAGTTCCTGGGTTAGTGGTTCTGTTGTGTGGTATGTGGTTGTTGGTGAGTATTTGCTTCAGGTTGCGGGGCTGTCTGTAGGCAAGGACTGGCCTGTCTCCCAAGACTTGTGAGAGTGTTGGGTCATCCTTTAGGATAGGTTGTAGATCCTTAATAATGCGTTGGAGGGGTTTTAGTGGGGGGCTGAAGGTGACCGCTAGTGGCGTTCTGTTATTTTCTTTGTTAGGCCTGTCCTGTAGTAGGTAACTTCTGGGAACTCTTCTGGCTCTATCAATCTGTTTCTTTACTTCTGCAGGTGGGTATTGTAGTTGTAAGAAAGCTTGACAGAGATCTTGTAGGTGTTTGTCTCTGTCTGAGGGGTTGGAGCAAATGCGGTTGTATCGCAGAGCTTGGCTGTAGACGATGGATCGTGTGGTGTGGTCAGGGTGAAAGCTGGAGGCATGCAGGTAGGAATAGCGGTCAGTAGGTTTCCGGTATAGGGTGGTGTTTATGTGACCATTGTTTATTAGCACTGTAGTGTCCAGGAAGTGGATCTCTTGTGTGGACTGGACCAGGCTGAGGTTGGTGGTGGGATGGAAATTGTTGAAATCATGGTGGAATTCCTCAAGGGCTTCTTTTCCATGGGTCCAGATGATGAAGATGTCATCAATATAGCGCAAGTAGAGTAGGGGCGTTAGGGGACGAGAGCTGAGGAAGCGTTGTTCTAAATCAGCCATAAAAATGTTGGCATACTGTGGGGCCATGCGGGTACCCATAGCAGTGCCGCTGATCTGAAGGTATACATTGTCCCCAAATGTGAAATAGTTATGGGTAAGGACAAAGTCACAAAGTTCAGCCACCAGGTTAGCCGTGACATTATCGGGGATAGTATTCTTGACGGCTTGTAGTCCATCTTTGTGTGGAATGTTGGTGTAGAGGGCTTCTACATCCATAGTAGCCAGGATGGTGTTATCAGGAAGATCACCGATGGATTGAAGTTTCCTCAGGAAGTCAGTGGTGTCTCGAAGGTAGCTGGGAGTGCTGGTAGCGTAGGGCCTGAGGAGGGAGTCTACATAGCCAGACAATCCTGCTGTCAGGGTGCCAATGCCTGAGATGATGGGGCGCCCAGGATTTCCAGGTTTATGGATCTTGGATAGTAGATAGAATATCCCAGGTCGGGGTTCCAGGGGTGTGTCTGTGCGGATTTGATCTTGTGCTTTTTCAGGAAGTTTCTTGAGCAAATGCTGTAGTTGCTTTTGGTAACTCTCAGTGGGATCATAGGGTAATGGCTTGTAGAAACTCGTGTTGGAGAGCTGCCGAGCAGCCTCTTGTTCATATTCCGACCTATTCATGATGACAACAGCACCTCCTTTGTCAGCCTTTTTAATTATGATGTCAGAGTTGTTTCTGAGGCTGTGGATGGCATTGCGTTCCGCATGGCTGAGGTTATGGGGCAAGTGATGCTGCTTTTCCACAATTTCAGCCCGTGCACGTCGGCGGAAGCACTCTATGTAGAAGTCCAGTCTGTGTGTGTATGGGGGTGGGGGGGATGTGAGAAAACCTGGATCTATGCAGGAAATAGCCCGACTTGATTATGGAGTTGTCACTTTGGATGGGCTAGCACCAGCAGGAGAGTGAATTTGTGTGGGGGGGTGGAGGGTGAGAAAACCTGGATTTGTGCTGGAAATGGCCCACCTGTTGATCACTTTAGATAAGCTATTACCAGCAGGACAGTGGGGTGGGAGGAGGTATTGTTTCATATTCTCTGTGTGTATATAAAGTCTGCTGCAGTTTCCACGGTATACATCTGATGAAGTGAGCTGTAGCTCACGAAAGCTCATGCTCAAATAAATTGGTTAGTCTCTAAGGTGCCACAAGTACTCCTTTTCTCTTTAGACCTATATCAGTGACCTAGAGAAGAAAGGGTAGTCTGCATCACAACACACCCCAGCAAAAGCTGTTTAAAAAGGTTATTGTGGGAAGCAGGCTTTAAATCTTTTACCCCAAGGACAGCCCAAAGCAGTTGGGCTGCAGTGATCCCAGGGTATCTGAGGCATTTTGGAGCTGAAGCAGGGCTGAAGTCCCTGGGCAGACTGATGGGTACTTGATATTTCTAGTTAGGATTAGCTGAAATTCTGCTAGTCACAGATCTCGGATTTAAGAATTTATAGGTTCTAAATCCCTGGTGGGTAACATATTTTGAATTAAATAACCTTTTCTCTTGTTACAGAAATGTGCGTCTCTTAATTTTGGAGCATGGCAGATGGTCTATCATAGATAAATATGAGACATTAATGAAGGGCCTTTCCATCGAGTCTCTCTCATCCTTTGTTAAGGCTTTCAAATCTCAACTCTTTGTAGAGGGTCTTGTACAAGGAAACTTCACAAGCAGAGTGAGTACTAACCTCCGCAGCTGAAGCATACTTCCTTGAATTTAGAAAGTGATTAAACGCAGCTGGCTCAAACCCTGTTTCACCAGCCTATGCCTTTGTCTGTACTGGCAGTTTTGGGGATATCTCACATAGATGCAGGTCCTCCGTTAACACCATGGGACAGCTAATGTAGAACTGGCCACTGGTGAATTTATCCCTGTGTTATCTAAACGCACTCAGTAATCTTCTAAACTCCAGGTATTGATGACATGGTGATTTAAACACTTCAGTGCTGGTGCGCCTGTGGAAGAGTTACCTAAAGCAATCAGTGCAGATACAGCCTGTGTGTGACAGGATATCATACTGTGTGTCTAGGGCCCAACACTCCTATTGTTACTCTCTCTCAGCTGCTACTGAAGTCCAGTGAGGACTGTCTGATCCAACCATAGGCCTGACTTAATCTAGCAAGCTTTTTAAAACTTGGCTACAGCAGGATTTGTCCCCATCCATGCAGTGTCACAAACCTATGGCCACTGAGGAACAAACTTGCAGTCTTCACTTTGTACCCATCAGTTTGTACTTGGTCTGTCAAGCCTTTTGGGAAATTCAACAGGGTATTGGTGGGGATGGGGATTCTTGTAAGGACAAAAATAGCCATATGGGCTGTTGGATTGTAGGGGACGCTGAGGGTTAACCAAGATTCTTATGGAGTCTTTGTTTGGTGCCTAAGCTGCTCTGACATAACATTCCCACTTACCTAGTACTACTTTTGTGCACATCCGTTGCTGTGAACATCTGTTAGCAGATTCTCGGTAAGACATTTTTCTCCTTTAGTGTCCTCTTTCCTGGCTTCCACGTTGCCCTTGCTGAGAGGCTACAAACTTCCAAGGAAGAGACTGGATTGGAGATGTCATTTTCCTTCCACAGCGTAACACAGATCACACTGTACTGTCACGCTGTAGGGGAGGAAGTGACTTGGTGCTGGGTTAACCTCTGGCCAAAATGTTGTAATGTGTGGCAAGGCTGGGGAGGATTGGACAGTTGTGTGTTTGCTGGTTCGTTTCTGGATGGCTGTACTATATATTGGGGCTGATACCTAAAGGGCTAATAATTCCATTCTCCAGCGTAAAACTGTTTATGCTTTATCTCTTAGGAATCAAAGGATTTTCTGAATTATGTTGTTCAGTGAGTATTTCTCTTTGACACTCACCTTTTTACAAGTGGGAGCTATAAGTATATTACAAAGTTACGAACCTTGGTTAACGGGGGCGGGGGGGTGGCTGGGAAAGAACGTTGTAAACAGTTGGAATTTCCTTTTTTCCGAAAAATGTAACTGTATTGTCACTATTTTCCAGAAATCTGGTTTTGATGGCAGTTAAAGTAAGATGTGGTTCTAGTTTGTGGGAGTGGGAGGGGATTGATGCTAATTTGACTTGAGGCATCTGGAATATGAACATTGGTTCTTTGTTTTGGTTTAAGGAATGGGAAGTTAAGTATTTGATGCTTTGCTGTTTGGACTCTCTTTAGAAAGCTGCAGTTCTTTCCCCTACCGCACCCGTGTCCTGTTCAATTTCGGGTGGTGGACCTGCCCAGCACACACCTACTCTGCAAAGTGAAAGCCCTTAACAAAGGTGATGCCAACTCTGAAGTGACAGTCTATTATCAGGTAACGTGTTAAGCATTTTGAGTATACTCATTTATTTTCCTTGTGGTGACTGCTGGCTTTCGTAATGCAGACTGCACAATTCTCCAACCATTATTTTCTAGAATATGTTCTGAATTCTAGTGAGCCCATCAACAGTATCCCCATGAGCAAGACCCAAGTTACTAAAACCTTCTTAATGAAGTTATAGTCCATATTATTTTGTGTGAGAGTTCTAGATCTATTGTGCCTTGTGCAGGCATATTCCATGCTCTTCCATATTGATATTGCCTTCCTCCCCCAGATTGTGCCTGCCTGTTCTTTGATTACCTTGAAATCGTCTTTTCAGCCATACAGTGATCATTGTCCCACGAAGAGACCCTTGTCTCTCGCTCAGGGGGCTGTTTTGAGCACACATCAGAGGCCAGAAAGTCTGATTTCTTTTTGTTGCAAATTGCAATGCTTAGTGCTGAAATCCATCCTGAATTGTTTGCTCTCTTAACGAGGTCATTCTAGTGACTTGGACCCATAGCTCTTCTCTTTCCATGAGAAACTCCTAAAGTGTTTTCAATTAATTTTTTTCTTTTAGTCTGGGGCTAGGAGTTTAAGAGAATACACCCTCATGGAACTGCTTGTGGTAAGTTTTTGCTCCTTTCTTAACAAATCTTGCGTACTTATTAACATGCGCCCTGAGAAGCAAAATTTCTGTCCTGCCCCTGGCATTGTTTGCGGTCAAGAGAATGCTACAGATGAAAATGAAACAAAAGTGAGACACACACATGCCTGTGATCTGCTCTGATTAGCCTTTTACTTCCTTTCTGGATTTTGTGGATACGTGTGTGTTAGACTGGTACCAGGACAGCCCAAATGAGCCATTTCATTTCTTTCTGGGATGTGGGGGAATCCCTGAGGCTTTAGGGCTTGTCTTCAGATTACAGTACTGCAGTGGCACAGCTGTAGCATTTTAGTGAAAAATGCTACTATGCCAATGGGAGAGATCCTCCTGTCAGCGTAGTTAATCCACCTCCCCGAAAGACAGTGGCTGTGTCAACTGGAGAAGCTGTTCCGTCGACAGGCTGCTGGCTGTACTGGAGATAGATCGGTATAACTGCATTGCTCAAGGGGGTGGATTTTCAGTTGTTCCAAAATAACTTTGTTGTGTAGACCTGGCCTTAGTGTTTCTTGTTTTGATCTTTGATCGTGCTTTTGTACCAAGCCTAAACCCAAGCTGCTGTAAGTAGCCATGCCTTCTGACTGAACTCCTGCTGTATTTCAGATGCACATGGAGGAGCCTTGCTTTGACTTCCTGCGAACCAAACAAACCCTTGGGTAAGTTCACTGCATTGGGTACAGCTCCTTTATCACACTTGAGTCCCATGTGTACGATGTTACCACAGAAACGCCATACTGCATGGTGGCTAACTCCTGCCATGGTGTGGCTGAAAGGACAGCGTAACATACCACAACCAAAACCAGCAGCGTTCTTTGACACCATCTTTAACTTAATTGCTTTGGTGCCCTTTGAAAAATGGCAAGGTTATGCTCAGTAAAGCTGCTGTCAAGTTACTGGCAAAAAAAAGTTTGCATGCAGCAAGGTCTTGTCGTCCAAGTTTGAGTCCACAACCGGAAGTTAATGTAATTTGTCTAAGCAGAAGATTTTCCATCTAGCTTGGTGATCACCATTGACTTGGACTGTGGAGCTAGACTTCCTCAAAAATAACCTCCCCTCACTCTCTCCCAAGTAGCAACTACTATAGCTTCCCCACAGCATTTATGTGAGGGGTCTGCTGAGCTGGAATTAACTCCTGTCACCACTGCGGGTGCATCCCTCTCTGTTTAGGCCCTTTCATGAGAACTAAGAGACTCAAGTAACCCTGACCGCACCATACCCGTTTTATGGGGGTTGTTTCACATTCACAGATCTGGGTTGCAGGATTTCTCAGTACATGAATACTCTGCTAAGCATCTTACAAAGCCCAAAAAAGGATTTGCTGAACAAAAAAGGCCAAGACCATTTGATGCAAGAGATTTGATTTGTTGTTCCAGAGTGAATCTTTTGCATTGATAGACACCTCTTTGCTAATAATACCTTACGTCCAAGTATTGACAATATTCTGATTTCATAGCTATGGATGGTAAATGTAAAATGGCTTGTACTAGTGGAATGACTTTCTCCTTTTGGTTTAAGCTACCATGTGTACCCGACCTGCAGAAATACATCTGGGATCCTCGGGTTCTCTGTTACTGTAGCAACACAAGCAACAAAGTACAAGTAAGTCTCTTACGAATTTAATAGGGGAGGGCATGTTAATGATTCCATCTTGTGGCCCTTTGAATTCTGTGGTTCTTCACAGCTAACCTCTGCAGATTTTGGCTGAAGTAGTAGTTGCTTACAACCATGCAAGTGCACAGCCAAATGGGCCATCAAGGTCTCCTGAAGGTCAACCGAGCACAAATAGAAGAAGAAAATTTCAGAGATGAGGAGCTCCTCCTCCACTGAACACTCTGGGAAGCTGGTACACAGACCGGGTTCAAAGCTAGGGCTAATCTGAAAGCATCCCAGATGGACTCGACTGTTATGGTGGAATAGGTGCTCTTTCCTAAACTCAGAAGTTGGACTGAGTCTGATTCAGCATATAGGGCTTTAAAAAACAAACAGAATATTTTGAAATGCACCCAAAAGCTACTTGGAAGCCAGTGGAGTTACAGGTGTAATGTGTTCCAAACAAGAAACCTGGCTTAGCAGGTCGGGTCACTGCACTCTGCCCTGTAGTCAAAGCTTTCCGGTGTAGCTTCAAACACATTGATTATCTAGATCAGTGGTCCCCAACCTTTCTGTGGGAATAGCATATTCCTATTTCCCGGAAGACTGGGGCAGGCACCAGACACCCCGCTGCTGAAATGCCGCTGAGAAACAGCAATGCTTCTCTGCGGCATTTCGGCGGTGCGGTGTCCTGCGGGTGCACGCATCTGCCCCGACAGACGCCATTGTGCCCGAGGGCACCGCGTTGGGGACCCCTGACCTAGATCCTCATTCAGCAAAGTAGTTAAGTATATGGCATAAGTTTAAGTATGTGCTATTACATTTTGCTGAATTGAGACCATAAGCAGGAGCTGATAAAGAGACGGCCTGGATAACTGGTGAGCTCCACATCTGAGGAGAGGTCACAACTCCTTACTAGCAAAGGCAAAGCAGCACTCCAAATCAGAATTCAAACTAGGAAGCAGGGAGGGATATTAACACTGGTTTGATAGAACTACTGCTAGGAATAACAATCATTTCTCTATTTTTGATCCCTTCGTTGAACGTATGGGGGAAAGCTCTTGAAGAATTTAAATATTGCCACTATTGAAAATAACGGTGGAGGATTTATTTATGGTAATGCAAGAAGTAAATAGGATGTGATGAAAAAATGGAAAGATGGAGCTTAAATGTAAAGAAAAAATGTCATGGTGGTGAAATGTACATGGTTATGAAATAATATCCTAAGGAAAGCAGTGGAACCCCCATTGTGTAATTTCATTTAAAACTAAATTGCACAAAGCACTAGAGAATGTATGATAGGTAAGACTATGTTTATGTCATGGAATTAATGGAAGTCTCAGAATCTGTGACCTGTGACATTCTCTGCTTCAGCCCCATGGGCTGCAGGACTCTGGAGCTGGCAGTCAGTGGGGCCCTGGCAGGGTTTCAGTGCCAGGCAATGGCCCCCTGCAAGGTTCCAGCAACTGCCAACCTGAGAATAGGTCTCAGGCAAGTGGCAAGACTTCCTCCGAATCCCGTTTTCTCTTTGGGAAATATGGTCACCCTGCAGCTTCCAGCTGTGGCAGGCAGAGGGGGAACCCTACAGCTCCCAGCCACCATGGTGGTGGGGAAAACCATGGAGCTGCAGCAGCAAAAGTCAGACAGGTCACAGCTTCTGTGAATTTTTGTTTATTGCCTGTGACTTTTTTACTAAAAATAACCATGACACAATCTTAGCCTTATTGATAGGGAACAGTCCTAGAGTAGCAGGGAGATGGACTGTGTGTGGATTTAATATATCTTTTTATCTCCTATTCTAAGAACAGTTAAATCAAGATGAAAAAAGGTGACCTCATGACTGGAGCTACATTTGATCTGGCTTATGACAATAGGTAGCTTTCACTGAATAAAACAACAAATCTAGTCTCAACTATGAAGTACACTTCTTTGAACTACCATAGAGATAATAGTTTATTCTTACAGAGCAGCTCTGCTCTGAAAAAGAAACCTGAAAAATAATTGTGTGATGATTTTTCTGGTGACAATTTGGCCACAACTTAAGGCAGCTGGATAGATTCCATGTTTAGAAATTGCCAACCCTGGAGGGCTTGTTTTACAGGTTTTTGAGCTGGCTCAAGAAGGTGAGAGGAGCTGCATATTAATATTCTATCTCAATAGTTAGACAGCTGGTAACAGCTGTCTGTCTTCTCATCTGCTTCACTGTCCCCATCCGAAGTACAACTATTTTTGGTAATACTGTTGGCCCTGACAGATGATGAATCAAGCATTAATAATCTCTTGCTTGATATAGGAATAGCACTGTCTTCCAAGTTCTTTCCTAGCTCTCTCTACCTTATTTCTTAAGGACTGGAAGAAACTGAAAATGGAAAGGTCTTCACATTGCATGTACCACAGCAAGGAGGGGGATGTTCTCTTCCACTAGGCCAGTGTGTTTTTCCCTGTCAGTGTATAATTCCTCAGGCAATGCTTTGCTGTTGATGTTAGTTCCCAAATTCAAAACTGGTTACTTATTGGAGTGCTATATATTGTGTTTCTATTCTTCTTTTTTCCAGCTCTGAATTGGTCGACAAGAAGATAGAAGATTTTCTTTCTTTCTTTGAAGAAAAAATCAAGCATTTAACTGAAGAAGCATTCAGCACACAGGTAAAGGGGACCGATCAACTACATAAGAATACCAATTAGTGAAGGAGTAGAGTCAAAACAGAACATACAATCTGTTAGCAGAAAGTGGAAGTACGCAGCTACATTAATATCTGCATCTGCCTGGTTTCTAGGAAGTGGTTGCATTGTACAGTCGCATCTCCTGAGGGTGCCATCTGAATTTAAGTACAGGACAGATTTTTCTCTTTTGTGAATTTTTACTCCCACTTGTCATGAAACTTTCACTGTTTTCTGGAAGTGGCCTTAAGGGGGACATGGCCTCATACAATGGACTCGAGGGCTGTTTGTAATTCAATAAACAGCCCAGATATAGACTGATGCCTGTTAGATTTAGCACATTCAGTGTTTGCTTTGCATTAGAATCCCAGCTCTCAAGAAATTCTAAGTGGGGTTGTCTTATACAGGTCACAGCTCTAATAAAGCTTAAAGAGTGTGAAGATTCCCATCTTGGAGAAGAAGTGGATAGGAACTGGAATGAAGTGGTGACTCAGCAGTATCTGTTTGACAGGCTTGCCCGTGAGGTAGTGCATTTGTTAATACTGCAAATAAAGTTTCTTGAATAGAAGTTTTAACCTCTTCGTAGCAGGTGCTTTAAATCACAAAATAGCAATGATTCAAATAAATGTTTGTTAGGTTGTATACACATAATAGCCACATGGAGCCCTGATCCTTGAGGGCCCCAGAGTTTTACAAGATGTGAAGTTACTGTGCTTAAGAATGAGCTCCATGCAGAAATTAATGGTGACACTTGAAACAGATTGTTGTAACAAACTTTATTTTCAGAGATTGTGGAAACTTAAACATGTTAGTGTTTCCACCACAAACTCTTGCTTTCAAGGCTTATAAATTTGGCTGCAAATAATTGCTGTTAAATGTTGGGAATTGGAATGCTTTTGAGATAGTGTTCAGCAGTTTGAAAAGTGTGCTCTTGTGGATTTTAGATTGAAGCTCTGAAATCCCTTATGAAAGCAGACCTGGTGGACTGGTTCCAAGCTCATAGAGGCAGTGAGAGCAAAGTACTCAGTGTACATGTGAGTATGGGTGGATGCAGTTCTAGAGTGGACTAGATTCCTTCTGATAGCTTATTCTTGTCCAAGCTCTGTATTTAAACTTGTCTTGCACTGTGTCCTATCATCGTTTTAGAAAGACTTACATGAATTGAAACTAGTTAAATTTAACTAGGGTCTAGAAATGGTGTAACTGCCTTAAATCCATCTCAGGAGAGAACAAGCATAAATTAGTGTGCTCTGAAAACTGCAGGGGAAAAAAATCACTGCCTAGGTTTAGTCTTCTACTAGCATATCAAGCTTCTGGGGGGGCAGACAATTGAAACAAACTAATGCTTCAAGACCCATTCATTTAAAATATTAGTCTTCCTGCTTTCTTTATAACAAAATCTGGCCTTTGGCTTTTCAGGTGGTTGGATTTGGAAAACATGAAGGGGACTCAGAAGTACCAGCTGTGTCTGATGTTCAGAACTCCTCATGTGGTGAAATACCTCAGCTAACTTTCTTACCTCCTTCCTCCTTGATGATTAACACCACTTCCATCAAGGACATCAAAGCTTATACATCAGCTCTGAATGTTCTCCCTTACCATAAAATATTAAAATAAATTGTCATCTTGCCCTGCTGTAGTGTGTAATTTAAGTTATTTACTGTTTGAGAACTACAAATCATTTTGTCTCACTAAACTAATGTGTAAGATTATTCCTTAGCTTTTAAAATTAACCTTCCTTACCCTCTTGAAAGCTGGAACAACTTAATTTTTACAGCTGTTACAAGGAAAATGTTCCTGATATAAAACAACTGCCTATTCTTAAATAGCCTTTCTAAGAAATAGAATAAAGGCAAAAGAGGGAGAAGGTTACTTTCTGTAGCTGCATGGTGTTAAGTCTACACAAAGTATTAGTTTAAAAGTTTACAGATGGTTCAGCATGAATGCTAAAGTGAACTGTGCAATAATTACTGAAGGAACTGGTTAGTTGTCAGATACCTACAATGCACGCTCCTATTAACAAATGTGTTTAAATAAAAATGTCTATTTTCTATCCAGGCTGCTGTATATTATAAAAGACGGTCTTATCACCTTTTTTCAGATCTATTACTGCTGTGTGTAGTGAATGGGCCACTTAAGCCTTGCACTTGAGGTAGTTATAAAGTAACACTAACTCAAATCTTAAACACAAGTATTTAAATTTCATCATTAGCATTAACTGAGTTGTTGCTGATTTTTTGCCCCCCTCTACTAAAGCATTAAATAGGGTTGTCAGTTGTAATCTGGCAGTATGCTAATATAGGTTTAGACTGTAATTTATCAATTATTGTAGGATTAACAGTGTGTGGTCTAAATGCCACTTTACTGTCTATCAGTAGCTAGGGGCTATAAGGATGTGGTAAGGTGAATCTTATTTATCGATGCTGTTAAAAATGTAAACTTACTGCTACAAAACAGAGTGCAACAGACTAATACCAGTTGGAAATTGTACTTTGTCTTCCCCAGAACACTCACTCACTCGTTACCACCCCTGCAGTGATAGAGAGGTGAAGGAAAAGCATCTCTTTTTCTCCTCACTGCATCCCTGTGGTGGGGAAAGGAGAAGCCTCCATGATCATACATCAGGTGGCAAGGGAAATCCAAGGCTAGTAATACAAAAGACAAGTAGTTACTCTCCTTCACAGAAGAGCTGTCCTTGTTCTGCTGAGGGAGTGGTCCCTTCTAAAGCTTTTCTGCTGAGGGAGTGGTCCCTTCTAAAGCTTTTCTATCAGCTGCTGTTAGATTTCTAGTAACTTTCAAGCCTTTATACAAGTCTACAATGATGTCTAGTAATACTGTATGACTACACAAGTTAATTCAGGAGGGGATAAATCTGACTAGATTCTATACAGCACCAGAATAATCATTTTGAGTGAGTTCATCACTATCCTATTGTTTCCTCAAAGCTTAAACACTGTTCAACCCTTACACAATTAGCAAAATTTTGAGAGCATATCTGGCTACGGCCAGCTTCCAGAAAGTCCTGGTACTTCTCACTGCCCCTGGCTGATTCACTCCAGTGCATGGACATAATGAAGTGAAAAATCTATCAGTATTCTCACCCTAACACAGTGCACACTAAGCAGCAAATCAATGCTAGGTAAAGCTTTCAAAAGTACTTTTATCACTTGAAATGGGATTTAGAAAAGCATACTGGATTTTTATAAAGTGGTGATTTTTCACATACTGAACATTGGGAAAGTAATTTTTTTTATCATAGCAGTTTCAAAGCAGTGTTGCTGTGAAAGGTTTTTATGAAATAAATACAAATCCATAAGTTTGAAAAATCTATTTTATGAAGCTTTAAGATGCACTGAGTATTTCAATTGTAGTCTATGGTTACATTTTAATTTCTAAAATAAAAAAGTTTTGGGGTGAGACAAATGCCAAAAGGTTTGATTTTTATCATACAGGTGGTAAATAACATTTATGTAGATTTCTAACAAACTTTCCAATCAAAGGAATCCTCATATTTACACATCAAAAATGTTAACTGGATTTAATTAAGTGAAGTCTTGCATTTATATATATATTTATATATGTAGAGCCCCAGAATATTATGCAACTGGTACCAACTATGTCCTTTACAGTGGTTATACCAAGTGTATGCTTCCCATAACTTAGGCCCAGGTTTCATTGATGCTTCTGAAGCATGGGTGAGGGCTCAGCCATCATGTCTCTGAAGCTTGAATACACTATCTGAATGGTAAAGTCCAAAGCTACTGTCAAATAGTTAAGACATTTCCTGCTTTAATTGCTCATCTGCATTATTAAATCCAGTATCCCTGAGATAGGAACCACTGTAACTGGAGGGGACAGGATCTCCAAAATAAAGTACTTGATCATCATAAATTTATCGTGTAGTTGTAAAATTCACTAAGCCAAGACCTGAATGTTTTAAGTTTTTATAACCACTTAATGTTTAGTGGCAGCAAGTCGTTTCAATAGTGGCTCGTCATAAACCCAACATTCTCCATCTTCATGGAATAACTAGAAGAAAATAAGGGGATAATTAAATGTAAATTTTTATGGAAAAGAATGAGGTAGAACACAGGTCAGGGGTGCTGATGATAGAAACCATATATTTGGTGTTTGTTATCACTACTTCAGTTTAAAGGATAAAAGCCTTTCAGGTTTACATTATTTGAATAAAAGCTCACCCTTGTTTCCCACGATGTCTCTTTCTCCTTTCTGGCTCTAGCTTCAGCTCTTTGTCTTTCTTCCAGTCTGTGCTTTGCATCTGTGGCTGCATCAATGTCTCTGATTTTTAAGTTGTAGGTTACATCTTTCCATAGGCTAAAGAAAGAGAGGCTATTATTTTCAGATGTTGATCTAGGGGAGGAAGCAGTGCTACCAGGCTGTAGAAACATTTTTACTGAATCTTATTACTATAAATAAATCTGTAAAGCCTTTAACATGTTGCTACAACTAAATCAAGAAAATTCTGAGATCCAAGTTGAGGTTCATTTGTACTTATTTGGGAAACACTAATTTAGTTCAACGACCAGTTCCGGTGCTATCAGCTATAGCCCCACAGTGCTGATTAATCTGTATAGTTTGGGTACATTTAACTCTCTCAGTTTTTACAGAAGTTCTATTTCTAAAAAAATCCTCAGATCTATGAACAAGGTAAGAAGCCTTCATCTGTCACTTTAATGAAGCTCTTACCAGCGGGATTCATATTCCTCTTGGTCTTCCAGTTTCTTTACCTTCTTCTTAATTGTAGGCATTTTCTTGGTATCTATAAAGACTACACTCTCCTAAACAGAGAAAGTTATTCTGCTGTTAATGTGTTTAAAAATAAAGAAAAAAGTAAAGTTTAGTCTAGCCTTTGTTCATACAATATGTACAGAAACATTTCCCTAACATTTATTGGCAGAGGACAGATAAAGGTCTGTTTCTTGCTTTAAGTTCTTATAGATTTATGTAGCAAAAGCCTACAGAGTTCAGCTACCCTCAGAGCAATTTTAATCCAGTGTGAAAAAAATTATTCAACACCTACTAACTTTCAGGCAGCTTCACAGGAGCATTCTCCCTGTGCTTTTAACATCTCAACTACTGAAGTAAAGGAGTTTAAGGTGCTCCACTCTTCGCTTTACCAGATCCTTAGTTTGACCTAAAGCCACCATTTACAAAAAGCAGGAGTGGAACTTTTACAGTAGTCCCTTAGTATACAAAGTCAGTATTTTCCATCCACAAGTATGTATACATACAAAATGCAATGGCGTATTCTGATTTGCCAGCAACACAAATACCTAAACACACTGTTTCTGATAGAGTAAAAACAAGGTAAGTTGCTTTACCCCTGTTGCATATTTTGCATACATGACACCATTCCATTCACCTTCAATTGAGCAGAAGGATTTCTTGTCATTAGGAGAACTAAATGAAAGGAAAAGTAAAATAGTTAAATTCATTATTGCACTAAAAAGCCCGCCTATCAGGTCCTTCTTGTCCTAATTACTATACATATAAATAGTAAGGCAGTGCTTGAACTAAAGAACAGAAAGTGTCAATAGAGATGGGAGAAAAATAGTATTATCTCCATTTTACAAATGGGAAAATGGGTGGACAGAAGTGGGTTGTTTTTTTTTGTTTGTTTGTTTTTTTGGTGTAACTGCATTGGTGCAAACTCTTAGATTGGCTGAGCCAGTGTAAAACAAGGTTTGATCCGGAGCAGAGTGTCTACCCCAGTGCACATTACCCTAATCTAGACAAGCCATACATTACTAAATTCAATTCACAAACCTACAAACAAAAAATTTGTGGAAAACTAGTAACACAGGGTAGGATTTTCAGAGGTGAAGATTGAGTGAATGTGTCCAAATCCCACTGAAATGCAATGAGATTTGGCTGTCTAATGCTTGTAGGCCTACCATATGAAAATCCCAGACAGCCTTAAAGTACAGCTAAGAGAATGAGGCGCATTAATATAGATGTTGCTGTAAACAGTCTTACACTAGCAATATAATGTACAGCCCTTTGTCAGCCTCCTTCCCTCCCCTTAATTATTTGTATTACAGTAAAGTCCCCAGTGAGGATTGGGGCCCCCAAGGTCAGGGGTGGGCAAGGTCAGGATGCAAGGTCAGGGGTGGGCAAACTATTGCCCGGGGGCCACATCTGGCCCTTCAGATGTTTTAATCTGGCCCTCGAGCTCCCGCTGGGGAGTGGGGTCTGGGACTTGCCCCGCTCCCGGAAGCAGCAGCAGCATGTCCCCACTCCAGCTCCTACACGTAGAGGCAGCCAGGAGGCTCCACATGCCACCGCAACCCCCACAGCTCCTGTTGGCCAGGAACGAGAGCCAATGGGAGCTTCAGGGGTGGCGCCTGCAGACAGGGCAGAGCCGCCTGGCTGTGCCTCCTCATAGGAGGCAGAGAGGGGACATGCCGTTGCTTCCGGGAGCTGCTTGAGGTAAGTGCTGCCTGGAGCCTGCACCCCTGACCCCCTTCTGCTCCCCGACCCCCTGTCCTAGCCCTGATCCCCCTCAGCCCCACCCCAGAGCCAGCACCCCCAGCTGGAGCCCTCACCCCCATACACACCCCCCAACCCCTTTCCCCAGTCCAAAGCCCTCTCCCAAACCCTGAACTCCTCATTTCTGACCCCACCCGAGAGCCCTCACCCGCTCCTGCACCCCAATTTTGTGAGCATTCATGGCCCGCCATACAATTTCCATACTCAGATGTGGCCTGAGGGCCAAAAAGTTTGCCCACCCCGTGCTAGGTGCTGATTTAACACTAAGTAAAAGACAATGCCTGTATTGAAGAGTTTACAATCTAATTTAAGGTGATGCAACAAATTATTATAACCAATAGGGGAAGGAAAAACGAAAGTATCAGTGACTGGATCATGTGCACAGACAGTCTCTAACCACAATAAGCGTGAATTCAACTACAAATCTAAATTTTATTAGACTCCCCGTACAGAGGCCCAGGCTGAAACGGAGATGCTATTCTATGTCAGCAACATTACAGAAAAGATCTTTTAGGAGTGCAACTAAAGCATAATCATTTCTAT